ACGTTTATAATAGTAAGTTATAACTCATAAATATAAGCTATGATTAAATAGTTATTTTGACTAATTTTTTTTCCGAGTGTACAAAATAAAAATAATACTAATAAAAATACATATGAAAGCAAAGAGCGCAGTGAAAAGCGTCAGATTCTTTCACCTTGCTAACGAATGTAATGTACCATACCACAGCCAGCATCCAGCGGGCAGTGCGAGAGCGTATGTATGTATAATAGATGCGTGGGTGGCAAACGCACGTAACCTGGACCAAGTACGTGTGTTCACGTGGTCAGATCAGCCCAGACGGCTTACGCACGTGCGATGTCCTCTCTTAACTTCTGGTCAACCCGTAAGCGTATATCTCATATAGGCGCCTTTCCTTTTAGGTATTTCGCCATGAGACTCCTCTACTCTCTCTCGACTCTCGAGCCTTGTCGGAACCGGTCCTCTCCTTCAAACTTACTCAGTATAAGTATAAGTAACCTTATCTTCAAAACTAAACAAAATACTTTACTTCGAAATCACTCCATGCCATAACATGCCATGGTCCATGGGTTCAATATTTTGTTTTTTTTTTTTCTTTTAATTATAAATATTTTCGCGATTTGGTTAGCTTCGTTCAGCCAGTGCTCTTTTATTTGTATCACTAAAAGACAACAGTGGATCCGCAAACTGAGGCCTAAATTCCAGCCATTAATTAGCATAAAATTTTTAAAAATAAATATTTGCAGCGAACCAGTTTTTTGATTTATTCATGTTACTCATTATTAAAAACAAAAAATTAATAAGTCGTTAATATTTATTGTTATTATTATTATTATGTTCCATAAGTACAGTTTTATATACATAAAAAAATATTAATTAATACTGTATAATTTTTAATAATTACTAATAACTACCCTAAAAAAAAATTCTTGAAGAATCATAAGGATATTTTGAAGAATTTCAGTCTTGACAGAAGCTAAAACACTTTTTGATTTAAAAAATTTTTCTTGCTTTAAGTGAATTTTACTTGGTTCAAAATGTTTCTATTTAATTCAAAATAATTCAACTATTCAAAATGATCTTCTTGGTTTAAGATTTTCTTTCTTAAATCAAATTGATTTTTTATAATTTTTTAACTTGAAACTTTTTATACTTGTATAATTATTAAAAATTCGGTTGAATTTTAGAATTCAAGTGAATTAATAATTCTAATTGGCCTTAAAAAAGTTTTTTCAGCAAGCCCGCATGTCCACAGTACAAAAATTTATTAAAATTAATAAGCGGTGTGTTTGAAGAGCGACGATGATGATGATGATGCTGATTATTAATATAAATATAATTGAAAAAGTAAAAATAACTTCGGGGAGATAATTATGAGTGTTGGTTTACGTATAAGACTTTTGTCTCTCGCGGCGACTTTGCGTTAATGTCAGAAATCTAGACTAATTAGATAGAACGTATGAGTCTGGGGCGTTGACAAGGGTATGGTATATACACACAACTAAATGTGTATAAAATAATAATAATAATAATAAAATATTGGTAGTAAATTTTCTTATAGAGTGTAATACAAACCGTATAAGCAATTGAGAATAAATGTTTGTAGAAGTACAGTGTCACTTATGCTGAGTTACTGTCTAAGATTAATTGGTAAATTACGCAACAGGTGTCTTGAAACACTCAAGCTGTTATACCTAAACTATCATATTCAAATTGTCGCGTGGCCGTAAACCTACACACTGTATATCCGTATGTCTGTATGGATTTGTTCGTTTTTAATATAAACATACATAACAATTATCACGTGTTACTTAGAGCGATGCCAAAAACGGTGATTTATATCGACATTATTCGTGTTGTCATTTTGTTTAATTTAATTCTTTATTTTTTTTTACTCTGTTTTCTGTCATCGTCATTAATTTGAAATTCAAATGTGTTTAGATATACGTAGATTCATTGATATTATCGATGTTTCGATATCCACCCACGTATTAAAGCTTCCACGCCCGCTATTACTTGTACGACCAATCGTGCAGAAGAGGATTACGAGGGATCTATATCGGTATCTCGGTCAATTCGTCGCTGTTGAAACAGCTGAGGCTTGGCCTCTAAATCGAAAAAAATATTGTATTTATAATATTTATAATATACAAGAAAAAAAAAGAAAACCGTTTTTACTTTCAAGAAATTTAATCAAGTTTTTTTTCGTTTGAATCTCGGGATTTTGTTGATACTTCCTTAATTAATCAATACCGATCTTTTGAGTGTAGGTGAAACTTGAAAAAAATTTTAAGAATAAAATTACAATAACAATGTTCAGTTCGGATTTGATCCCATCCATGTATACATAGATGTTTTATTTAAATGTGGGCTTATAATATTTTATTAGGCGGAAACTCCTAACTTACCACGGTCAAACGTTTCACAACAATTATTTATGATGTTAAAAATAATATGGATACGTATTTGATTTATAAAATGTGATTTTAAAATTATGTTGAGTTTAAATTACTACAGGTTTAAAATTTTCATAGTTGAATATTAAACTTGGAACATAGTAATATAATGATAGTTGGGTTCACGAAAATTATTCAACTTTGACAAGATGCAGTATCTATCTTTAAATACAAGAAAAAGTGTCAAGATACACACGTAAAATTTTTCGTAATTATGTAAATTTAACTTTTAGTTGAGTTGGTGTTAAAATTTTAGTATGTCACATTTTATAAAAAATTTTTCATTTTTGAAATTATTATTATTATTATTATTATTATTATTATTATTATTATTAGTATTACATAATAATTATAAACGAAAATTAGATATAAATTGGCATCCTGTCACTTTGATCTACACGACCTAGCATCTACGCAATGTAATTATTCGTATCGCGATCGCGCAAACCCGATCGTGCTAGAAGGAAGCTCGTTTCCATTTAATTTAATCAATACCCATTCCGCGATAATGTATAACTTTATTATCAGTCAATATGATAGATTTAATAGTTAATATTAATAACATGCATCATAAACACAATATACAATACACATGTTAATAAAATAAAATGAAACAATTCTATTAAATTTTTCTGTAGCACATTCTGCAAATTACACTTTATGATACTACGTATTATGCTAATTTATCCTTTTAATAATAGTGCAGTAGCAAAAAAATAAATTGCTTCATTTGCTATTACCGCAAGACCTTCATTGCTCTCGCAATCTCTCTATACAGACTTATATACATATATGAAGTGGATAAAAAATACTATCACTGTACACGCCTCGACTCGCGGTTCCACCGGGATTGTTCACGAACAATAACACAAAATAAAAAGAAACTGTAAATCATGATCAAGAGTATGTATCCATTTAAGAGTGAAATTGGTCCTGACGGGTCTGGTTATTCAAACAGATTACCCTTGAACCACATCGGACGTGACCTTGAATTAGTATCTCGATCTTTGTAATTTAATCTTCATTTAAATTTTCTTTTATAATTTTTATTTCATTTTATTTCTTTCACTTCTATATTAATTTAAGCCTCAACTCGTACTCTCACTCGTACTCGATTTATTATTTTTTTATACTTCAGTGCACGTACAGTAAAGCAATCACGAGTAATATAAAATTACACATTCATTTTACTTTATTTTATTTTATAAATATTTTCATTATACAAATTACAAAGCAAACAGTTGTATATATGAGTTACTTAAACCAGCAAATTTAAATTATTCAAAACAATTTATAGGCGTAGCGAGTAATGTTTAACAAAAGTAGCACAAGCTAAGTATTTTTCTGGGAAAAATCACCTTTACAAATGAAACGCTAGCACACTACAAACGTATGTAATGTAACTAAACTACCAATAGAAATTTACTACATACACACGTGTCTTAAATAGCCATGACGATTTTGGACTGATATAAAACGCAAAACAATTTATTTTGCTGATTCTCATACTCATAATATAGGCTCGCCTTGACCCCATTTGACCGACAATAAAAATAATGCGTATGCAGCACATACGTTACCCATCCGGCAAAATGCTCAGGATAGATTTACATTTTAAAGAGTAAATCTTCTAATATATAATATTAGAAATACAAGTATTTCAAATATACGACTGACATGTTTAACTTTCAAATAAAACTATTTTTTTTATTTTCATTTCTTACTTTAACGTATTTCATTTCGCATATTTTAGACACTTGAACTTTACTTTTGTCTAAGAATCTAAAATGATTACGATGATACTTTTAAAAATCATAAGTTAATTTTGTCTTTCTTCGCTTTGTTGAAAATTTCAATTAGAAATTTACTTCTCTCTCAAAATATACTATTTAGTTATATTTAAAAAAAAATTTTTCTTTCTAATATTTCGAATATTTTTTTCGTATTCGACGTATAAAGATAAAAATAAAATGTCAATTTTTTTTTTCATCAAATAAATGATATTTTTTTTTTTTTCGATTATTCTACTTTTGATGAATTTTAATAAATAAAATTTATAGTTATTAACCATCGGAGTACACTGGGGGTCATTTTGATTCTAGAATTATTTTTATCCTAAAATATTTCTTGAAAAAAAGTTCGTTTTTAATTAATTTTTTCAATCTTAAAAACTATTTAATTCAGAATATAATAATTGTATTCAAAAAAGAATTGTTTTACCAATCAAAAATGTAATAACCTGAATTCCGATAAAATGCATAGTTTCTGAGATATAATTATTCAAAAGTCAAGTGGGATCAATTTGACCCCGTGTGTACTCTAGTTTTGTTCGGAGGTGTGTATTCCGAGGGTTAAAAAAAATTTTTAGTCAAACGAACCAATTATACAAAAAAATTTTCAATTTTTTCAAATGTAATTAACTATTTTGATCACAAAATAAGTATTAAAGCGACACATATTTTTATTAATCAATTTTTTACTTTTTTAGGATTTCAGAGGTAAAACAAGACCGAAGAAAGAGGAACAAGAGCCCAGAGAAGAGCTAAAAAAATAATATACGAGACAATGTCTACACTGAGAGAGAGCTCACACGTGAGCAGAAAGTACGTGAGTCATGGCGGCGCTATATCCGGACAGGGCCACTCTGCGAACTCGAGCAACAGCCTCGAGAACAACTTGGGTAAAGAGTTTACTTGTACATGCACCATCCACCATCAAGCATCCAACATCCAGCATCCAGCATCCAGCATCCAGCATCCAGCATCCAGCATCCAGCCCAGCACATAACATACAATGCTATTTTCTTCCATCGTATAGTAGTTAAACCCCCGCTGAATGTACTGGTACTCGAATCCTCGAACTGGTGTAGTTAACTCTCATCTGCGGTGCCCTCCACCCCCGCCTCTTCGTAGTCATACTCTGGAGTATGGATACTCGGTACCGGGTACTTGTAGTTACATCGTAGCTCACCGACTAAACCGTGGAGTATACGTAGCTCTTAACTTTACTTATATTAGCATTACTCTCAGCAACATAACACAACCTTGCTATTGCCAGAGAGCAGAGTTTAAGTCGCATGTGAAGCTTGTGTAACTTTATCCAGCTGCTTGGTCTCTGGTCTCCCTCAATACATACGGCGACCAACAACCAACAACCAACAACCGACATACATTGCCCATACAATACTCTTACATGCATACATACATACATATACATGCATACTGCAGACTCTTATCTACATTCATTCACTCTTGTTTGCCAATACCGACGCCGCAGACCATTCCCGAGAAAAAAATTAACCGCGTCCCGTCCCGGTAGAAGAAACACACTTGAGAAAAATCATCGACATTCTGATCTCCATTCCTGATTATTACTTATAATTTTACTTTTTAGACGCTCTTTTGGAAGATCTACAAACCAGCGTATCCAGAAGCGCAACACCCAGTGGCCGAAGGCCTTACTCGCCTCAGGTCGAGTACAGGACTGCTGCTAATCCGACAAAAACAGTCACTGAAATCAGGTAATTTTAATTAAGGGTTTTTGCGCACTTGGAAGCTTGAATAAAGCGATTTTTTAGTCATTTTTTTCTGAGAGATTTTTTAATTGATTGATATGAAAATAGATATACTTACAAAAGACACTTTGAATTTTATTAATAAGTCTTTTCTTTACAAATATTAATTTTTCTAGCTTCTGTAGACGATCTCCGAGAGATATTCTAAAAATTTATATCTTGTTTGAATCATCGAAATTTAAAAATTAAAAAAAATTTCGCTAATATAAAATATTATGTAGTAATTATAAAAATATCAATTTTGTGTAAAAATTTGAAACTTATCATAGCTTTTTTGAAAAAAACTTGCTCACCGACTTTGAAGACAGTTTTGAGTCAGTCTCATTTTTACGCGACTCGCTTCAAAAAAGCTTTACAAATATCCTTATAACTTTGAAAATACTTGTCCAATTGAAATAAAATTTTCTGAGCATATAGTTAAATATATGTATATTACAAAAATGAAATAGGAAAAAAAAATAAATTTTTTAAAGATTCAAAGTGCGTACAACCCCTTACTTTGTGTTTATGAATATCTAATAAAAAGTACAAAGCGTAAACCCGAGGTGTTTTCCTCTCCCAGGTCTATTTCCCCGACACGAACGAGTACGACCACTAGGGAAAAGTACGTGAGCACAGGACCCAGCGGAGTAGGAAGCGGAATACCAGGCTTGGAGGCACTGGACGCTGAATTACGAAACGTAAGTTTAAAGGCTACATTACATTGGATTTAACATCCTGCATTCAGTGAACTACGTTCTGCATTAGCCTTAGCTCATCATCCTGCTTGAGTCCTATCTATTTATCTGTCTACCTATCTATCTACGGACCCTCCGCTTCATGTACGTACACTGGTACTTCTTCCTGGTTTTAATACCGATCGCTCGAGGGTTAAACTTCCGACATTAAAACGTCTTACCAGTCTCTGTCTGTACATACTGAGTACGATCAAACCTAATAGCCACTGACATTAACGTATTGACGGAACGTCTTGTCCATCAGCCTCCACATTTTGTAAATCTAAAGTCGACCGTTAAACATTAACCATCGACCATTAAAACCCTCGGTACATAAATACTGGTTGCTGTAATGTGTCTAAGTAATCTTCTCTGGCTCCAGTTGTTTTATCACAAATAATTAAATAGAATAGGCGAAAGGGCGTGTATATATTTTTACTTATTTATTTAATTTTTTTTTGTCAATCAATCAATAGATTTTTGATAAAAATGTAGTTCCTGTCATAAAATTATCATGCTTGATTTATTTTAAATTTCAACAGATCCATGATATATAAATTTTCAATGCAACATACGAAAGTTTGAAGTTAAAAAATTTCGAAATAAATTATTGTTACATACTAGTCATATATCAAACATATTTTACGACTATACATATCAGACCATCTGAAAATATTTAGCATTACATTGGTCAAAAAAAAAAAGAAGATTTTATTCTATGCCTCAGCATGGAATCACTCGAAATATGTATATAAAAAAGTTGGATGCTTCGAGCAATGAATATAGAGAAATATAAAAGATTTCATCAAGACATTATGTTGTAGCGATGGTAGAAAGATATCAAAACAAGTGGTCATCAAAAATAGTCAGCCCTCTGTTGGACATTAAAAAGAGAGATAAAGATCTAATATTTATATCAGAGAAATGCAGAATTTAATAAAGTTTCTTTTATAATTTAAATATCAAAAATATTTTTTTAAATATTGTTGATAATTTAAAATTAGTAAATCAATGTATAAAAATTAGCGATATTTATTTTTATTACTTCATTTTGTATAGTATAACAACCCACAACAATTGAGACTTAAACACATATTTGTCGTGAATAATATTTTAAAGTACTCATTATAAATCTTCGATGCGTTGAGTGAAGCTTAAAAATACTGTCATAAAATTACAAGTTCGCTTTGTGGTATTGTAAAAAGAAAAATATGTAATTTAAGTACTTCCACAATACTTTATTACAGAATTTCTTCAAGTAAACAGTAAACACTTCGCGCAAGTATACACTACACCATAAAAATGATAGTTTGTCTTGAGGTGTCACTGATTTGGTGTAAAAGCAATAACTTTTACGATGTAAAAGCCACACTAAATAATAAAGTGTTTATTTTTTGAGGTATAACCAAATACAAAATGTTACACCGCTTTGTTATAGTAAATTACACCTGAATTTTTATTGAAGAAACATATATTTTTTACTAAAGAGTATTAAAAGTATTAGAAATGATTAAAAGATAAGCTTTTAAATACTAAAAACAAAAATTTATTCTATTTATGATGACCAAATAGTCTTTTATATTCACTTTTTAAGATTTATATTTGATTCAGGATGTATTACTAATACAGACAGTTTGATAATCCGAGTCGATATATATAATTCATACTTAGAAAAAAATTTCACATCGTAAATCCACTCCCAGCTGAGTAATTCAAATCTTCTAACATATAATCAACTAAACTTTTGAACTTTATATTACAAAATTGTGATTAGTTCTAGCATCGCATCAAAATCCATGATGAATTTAGGGATTAGTCTGCATACAGAAGTACAGTTACTTCTTTATGTACGGTATTAGTATAAAATACGATATATAAGTATATTAGTATTAAAAGAGAAGTATAGAGACATAGAGGAGGTTTTAACACATAGAATTACCCAGATAAATAGCTTTACTTAGAACCCATCCTCATTCTATCCTCCATCCTCTATACTATTCGTAGTCTAGCATTGTCGCTTCAGCGTTACGTTTTACATTAACAGATTTTTTATTTTCTTGTATACTCAATACAACACAACTAAACCCAAGATTTCTCAATGAGCCAACGAGGCTAAGCCGTCGTTGGCCGAGACTAACAATTATCTACTCGGTATTAACTCTCATACTTGGTATTATCCAATAAACAGTGTACAGTATACAATATTGCAGTACCGCAATTAACGATAAGTAAATTTACTTTTCTAGATAAATTCATTTTCATTAATCATTAGAAATTTATTTGCTTCATTGCTTTTACTTAGATTGAAACTAAACTTTTATTTACGTCTATTAAGTCATCTGTATTTTTATCTACCCACTACTGAAACAATCATTAACAATTTTTTATATTAAATATATAAGCAAATAACAATTAATGAATAAGTTAAATAAAAAATTATTATAAAAAAGTTAATTGGTATTATGACATTGAAAGTTTTATTAAAAAGTTGAATAAAACATGAAAGAGAATAAAGTAATAAAGTAAATAAATAAAATATGAAATAATAATAATAATAATAATTTTTATTAATATTTAGCTAAAGCTATTCATACATCAATCGTCTATAATCGTACATAAATTACACATTTCTTTACAATTAAAAAAATCATTAGATAGTAAATTATAATTTCTGCTAAAGTAATTAAAATCTCAATAACTTATTGCCAATATTTAATTACATCCAATGCATTTAATTAGATTTTATCGAAATATCAAAATATTATCTAAATCTCTTTTTTTAATAAAATTTTAAACACATTCATACGACAATAATAATAATAATAATAAATAAATAAAAACAAAAGAGAATAACCGTTGTTTAGTGATGCATTGACAATATACTATTCTGTGTCAATCTGTCGATTGACAATCTCCATTCGTAGCCATCAATTGGACATTTTACCTCCCACGTACATCACGTTTCTGTGGTCTCTCACGAAACCGATACAATGCCATGATTAAGCATTCACTCGGGTGGCCCCTAGAGGCCTGGAATTCCGAAGAATTTAAATGTGCTACCGATCCGCCAACGCGTGCTTACGCGGAATGATTATACGTTGTGTGATGTTGTTGCTGTTGTGGTCATTTATGTATATCTATATCTATATATTTATATACAAGTATAAAACTATACAACATCAGGCTGTTTCTATGCTCTTATAAGGCAAGCTGGTTAAACCCAACTTCCTTTTTATCTAAATATTTTGCACTTACTTTATCTCCCGCGCGACTCTTTTTATCTCTACTCTCCTTGGGCTTTCTCACTCTTATTTACCTTTTATTTTTTCCAGGGCTTTTTACTTCTTGCTTCTTCTTCACTCTTATGCACTAGTCTCGCCCCAGCATCCAGTCATGCTAATTTACGATAATTATAATCCTTCGATCGCGCACGACGTTTGTCAATAAAAAAAAAAAAAATAACGTTACATGTATTGCTTGGAATTAAAAATTTTATATAAAAATCACTTAAATTTTTTTTTTCTATTTATAAAATTCAATATAAATTGAAAATTGATTTGTGATCAAGCTTGTGACACCTTACACAGAAAAAAATAAATTTTTTAAACTCTTTAACAAACTTTACAAGAAGAAATGGTAAATTTACATTGAAGACAACTTTATAATTTTTTAAATCAACTTGGAATAATTTTTTTTTAATTTTGAAAAATTTTTTAATAAAAAAAATATTTGATTTTATTAAGTTTTCAAAAAGTTATATTTTTAATTAAAATTGCATTTTTTTGAATGATTTATTACTTGAATTCTAATATTATATTTCTAAAATTAACGAAAGTTAATGAATTTTCTCTTAAACAAGTAATATGGAATAAAAAATATGATTTTTTCAAAGCAATCTAGTAATTATGTACCCACACAACATGTTATAATTTATCTTAACAAATTAATTTAAAAAAAAATAGTAATTTTTATGTAGCTAATAATTTCGCATCGACACGAGTACTCTATCGTAATTTAAAATCTTTCAGGTTCAGCCGGGACAGAGCAAGACTGTGGCATACAAACAGGTCTCTTATCAGTTCAACAAGAGCCAGGACGGCAAGCCAGTAGGTAAGAGAAGTTATTTTTATCTTTTATAAATATACACTAGAGTAATAAATAAAAAATTAATAACTTTAACATCTCCAGAGTGAGTATAGAGCGAGGAATTGACCATCACTCGTATTATATTTTTATACAATATAATAATTTTCCGGCAAATCTGCGATGTGTGTGAATAAGAGAAAGGACCATAATAACAAGCCACGATGTATAATATAAATTTATACTGATCAAAACGATCAAATGGCTCACTACACTCCTTATAAAGTTTACGACCTTGTCGAATTGTCGCCGTGAGATCGAATGTCAAGAAAAAAATAAAAATATTTAATAAATTACTATAAAATCTCTGCTCGCCTTGGGAAAAAAATTTTATTTTAAAATAAAATATTTATGGATGTGTAATATAATAGAAAAGAGGGGCTGGCTGGCTTGCGTTATGTTTAAGATCACCGATTTATCCGTCACAAAATTTTCTACGTCAGTCGCTTATGTAATCTATTAAAAAGTATCATATTGTGTTTGTTATTGTTATTGTGTTTATATGGTTCGAGTCGAGTACAATTGGCAAATAATTATCTCGAGGATATAAGATATAAGATATAAGTTGTATAGACCATATTAGGGTTGATTGTAATTGAAGAGGCATGACCTGATTTCTCTGACGGTGGGAAAAATTGTTATGGGTTGAGTGTAGTACTGTACAGTATATAGCACATAATGTAAGACATAAGAGAGTACGAGTGCAAAGAGACAAGTACGATCAAGGGAAAGAGAAAGAGGATGATGATTGAAAGCGATAAAAAAAATTAACTGGACATATTTGTCGCTTAATCTTGATTGTAGGGTCACTAGTTTGCAATTTAAAATATTTATATATCTTATATATTATGTGTCAATTGTCAACCAGCCAATTTACTGTGTTAACATTTTAAATTCCTCATTGAAAAAAAATTTTATTTAGTAATAAAAATGAAACGTTAATTATTATTAAAGTATTAAATATTGATAATTTGTTTCAGACTCATATGGAACAACGGACAGAGCCTTCACAACCAACACTTCACCCTTCTCGTAAGTATTACAAATTTTGTCGTAAAATATAAAAATATGCTGGCTTGAGGCCAAAAAGTACGTCATTGTGTAACCATCCACGCGTAGGAGGTAGCAAAATAATTCAGGATTCATCATTGCTTATTGCATTTAACTTTTTGTTTTTTCACGAGAGTATTAATAGCTCATCAATGTAAATAATAATTTTCATAAAAGTAAAGTTTTCAAACAAACAATCATTTTAAATAATAAATAATTTAATAAAGAAAAAAAAAATAAAATCCTGAAGAAATCTCATTTTATTAATAAAAAAATTTTCTGCATAAATATTAAATTTTGATAGAATAATTTACTTTTTCTTAAAATATAATTTTTAAAAAATAATTTTTTCTTTATTAATCTATTAATACTTTTTTAGAGATGACATACATGAGGCGAGCTATGAAGAAATCCATAGGAAGCGAAAGAATGCCGAGAAAATCACTAAGACATCGGCGGTTAACAGAGAGCTGGTGTATGGCGACACTTATTCGTCATCTCGCTCAAAACAGGCATCACCACTTCCGGGAGCACAAACGCGAGACGTTAAAATAATTCGCGAAGCTACTAGTAAGGCTTTATTAATAGATCTTATGTTATCGACTCTATCGATTGATCAGAATTAAAAATAATATGAAGCTAAAATTAAGAGATATCTGACAGTTTTTTTAATTTTTTTTATCTAACTTATCACAAAAAAAAATTCAACTTCTAAAAAAAAAAAAAATTATAAATACTTTCTTTTTTTTATATTTTTCTAGTACAAATTTATTTGTTAAAAAAATGGTCAGGTGTCTGCTGATTTCAGTGTCATTAAATCTTCAAAATTAATTAATGATACTTAATGCTAATAAAAAAATTTTAATGAATCTAGGCTACCAAGAACCGAAGACAGTATCAACAACCTTTAACACCCGAGAACGTATTCAAGAGTACGGAATCGAGCAAGTACCAGTGCCATCTCCAACATCAACAATTCCCTTGAATTTGGCCCCAGGTCCAAACACCAAGGTCACCACGACGATAAAAACGTACACCTACGAATTGCCAGGAGCTCCAGAAATTTACTTACCACCCGGCCACTCAGGCACTGACCAGACAGTGACCTACAAGCTGGACAAAACCCTGGAGCGATCTGCGAGCCCAATCAGGTACACGAGCACGCCCGAGATAAATCAAAAGTCCTCGATCCTGCACAAAGAGTCCAAGTACTACCAGGAAGATCTGCGCGGGTCTCCAACTTACAGGAAGCCCAGCTCGCCTTACTCAGCGGGACCGTCTCCTACGCCGACGAACCTGGAGACGACGACCACCCGGAAGGAGAACTTCTACATCAGAGACGATCGTTATGAAAACGGATACCTGCCTGTCGACAGGACAGACTATCCCGGGTATCAGAGCCACCCCCACCCACCGTACACCGAAACCACAACGACGACGATGATTGACAGGATCGAGGAACATTTTCCAGACAAGCCGGCTTCTCCGTCACGCAGCTACTACACAGCAACGCCTCCAATCACGCCTCAGTCGGCCAATGTTTATAAATACTCCAAGGAGTCCTACAGCAATCACCATGCCAGCGACCGCGAAGTACTTTTACCGAAACCCTTTCCCACAGGCACGCAACTCTATCCCGTAAACGGAAAAGGGCCCAGCAACGGCCAGGGACCGCCCGCTAAACTTGATGATCTTATGGCTTCCTTCTCAGAATCAGAGGTTTGTTTTTATTATGTTATTATATTATATTATAGCTATCTATGCATATATTTATTTAACTGCTTATTTTGTGTTTATTTATTCCAAGAAAAATATTATATTAAGGAGATCCAATCGCTGGGTGTACTATGTTATGTAACTGAGATTAGATAATAAGGAGAATTTAGGATTTTATTCTGTTTTAGATCCACTTTGAATGGTTCAACCGTGGGAAATTTTTAGAATTTCCGTTTTAATAATATAAAAATTAATTATTTTATTAATAATATGAAAAGAATTATTTTTAATAATTTTGTGAATCAAAAAAAAAAAGTGATTAATTTTGATATTTTGTTGAAATCTTGGAAATTAGCTTTCATTGAACTCATGCGCAGCGATTAGACCTCTTAGTAGTAAAATAGTATTTTGGATTTAATCATATGAATAAAGAATGATAAGAGCCATAAATTAACTTGATAGGAAATCCAAGAAACCATGTATTAGTTTTTTTTTCTTGTTTTTTCTAATAGGTCGGTCTATCAATTTTATTAGGTCAGTAGATACCAGATATAATACTTTTATCAGTCAGTGTAAATTAAAATTTATGTACTGTAATGGTTAAAAAAATTGTTTATTTTTTGTATGTTTGGAAAAAAAGAACCTAATAAGTAAAAAAGTAATGTTAATATGTAAGAGTGAAATAATTAAAAAAAAAATTGTTTTTTCAGCGTGAAGTGTTAGTTGACATAAAGCGTGAAGAGCAGATGCAACGAAAAAATAAAACACAAGAAAACGGGGTCCCCAAGAAGGGAGTTGATTTTATCAGTCATACACCTCCGAAAGTGCAGAGTAAAAACGTCGCGGGTCCTCCTGTTTACTATCCGCCTGGCTCCGCGGAGTTTACCAAGAAAGAGGAAGGAGCTATGATGCAAGCAAGTGTAAGTTTACTTTGTATATTTACACGGGAATTTTATAAGCCGGATAGGATAGAAGTACTATAGAGGATGTTGAAAAAAGAAAAGAAGAAAAAATTGAAGAATAAAGAAAACATATAATTTACGGTACGTGTGTTTACTTTGCAGGGCGAATGGGCGAGGGCGAGAGGCCAGTATGAGTATGAGGCATCAAGCAAAACTAAAACAAAACAATCAAGTGGAAAAGCTGTTGTTCCTGTGTGTCTTCCTCTCTGTTGTGCTCTTCCTTGCGTTATAATGTAATTTATTATTTATGATATAAATAACTGAAATTTAATTTTTTTACTAACAAATACTTCATACACGTATATTAATTTAAGTCTAATTCAATAATTTATATCGGACGTGTAACGTGTAATTCTTAAATTATATAATTATTATATTATTTAATACTAAATTAAAAAGATAATTAATAAAATTATATTAAAAATTATTATATTAATAATTATTGTACGAATAACAATTGTTAAAAATATATTTTGTCGGACTACCGTCATATATGTACACTCTCGAATCAATATTGTACGTTGTCTTATTGTGGATAATTAATTTTTAATAAAATTATCTAGTTAATCGTAATGATTAATGACGAATTTATTATTTTATAAATGATATACTGACATTCTAATGAATTAATTTAACTACATATTTTTTAGGAAGTGATTCTTTGAAATTTTCAGATTGTAATAGTCCGAAAATAATATTATTTGCATACTAATATTTGATCGATTTTTAGATTAAAAAAAATTTTTTCTCATTTTTTTTTTTTACATGGATTAAGAATTTTCTTACTTGGGGTAAGACAATTTGCTAATTAAAACGGCAATATATAAAATAAATAAAAACAGAGTCATCATCTACAGAAAATTTTTTTTCCTATTTGTAATGATTCGAAAAGACAAATCTCTGATTGGACATTATCCGAAAAGCGTATGGGCTTTTTGCAGAAATACACTTGCAAGAAAATCATCTCACCGAAATGACATTAAAGTTAGCAGTCACTAGAGAATTTTTTAATTTCTTTTAACAAAAAAATTTGTTCTAAAAAATTATTTTTAAAAAATTGCATTTTTAATTTTTTTAAATTTCTACATGTCAATTTTTTTTATATTTTTTTTTGGTCATAATTTATTTGTTAAAAAAAATTCTAAAAATTATTAAATACCTGCTAAATTTATTATCATCTCACCGAAAAGACATTATCTACATCGTCATCCATAGAAAATTATTAAATTTAATTATTATTAAGTTTAAAATTATTGAACCAAATTATTGAACCATTAGTGCTGACATCTGTATATAAACGTCAAAGTTATTTTCTAAAAACTGTTAAATTACCGGCCGTTCTCGAACGTGAAATGCCGCTAATGCAATGTCATAATATAACCTTGAAATCATACAGAAAACCTCAAATGGAAGTTGGTGATGTTTATGTACTTATTATCGTCAATAATTGAGGCCCAATTGAGCAACTAATTATTGAAATTAATCATGGACTCTGTAAAAGAGTTTATGAATATTTTTTCAAGATGTTGGAAAGAGAGACGAGGTGAAGAGTTAGAAAGATTATTTAAAGATGGACCACAATATTTTCAGGATGTGCCGCAGAGTTTCAAAGGTTTTTAACAAATTATTTACAACTGTCACTTTATGCTGATATTGTTATCAAATTTACTAATAAGAGCATCACCTTTTTTAGCTCTTGCTCTCATCACAGTCTTCGACAAGAAAAACGGTCTAACAGTGTTTTTAACCAAAGAAATCGATCGACCGGTGATAGACAAAAATCTTCAGCTGTCGTTTCATGCTGCGTTTCATTTAATACAATTCTTCATCAATGAGTATTCAGATGTACTTCTACCTCATGTTATACTAATCAAAGTTGGTATTTTGGGTTTTAATTTTCTTAATCAATTTCTCGGATAGTTATTTATTGTATCTTTCATTACAGAAATTATGTACTTTTATAGCAACTTTAAAAACAGCTGCTTATTTACATCGTATTTCTTGTATGACACTCATAATGTTGATAGAAAAGTTCCACACAATGGACTTACAACTTGATGAAACTTTATGTTATTGGTTGACTAAATTTAATTTGTTTAGTGACAAAGGTATGATTATCATTTTTTTTTTTTTTTTTTTTTTTTTTTTTTTTTTTTTTTTTTTAAACTTTGAACATTAAATATCGAATTACGCTTCATATAAAAATATTTGTTTTGAATTATTATTATTATTATTATTATTATTATATCAACATTGACACGAAAGCATTGGATAACATTTTTTGAATTAATTTTCTGATGTTACGCTTATTTTTTATTATCTTTATTAAATCATCAAAAGAAGAATTGAATCTAGTATAATTAAGAAACATTTTATCATTTTAGGATTTTTTTAAAAACTACATCATGAAAAAAAAAAAAAATTCACAATAAAAATTTCATATTGAAATTGTAAAAAAATTATAAAAGCAATTTTTATTGAATAATGCTTTAGGATTAATTTATTTGTTGAATAAAATACAAAAATATTAAAGTTATTAAAGAATAATAAAGTAATTTTATATTTTCAGAATCGAATCAAATCCTTCGAGTACTAGGAGTAATCGTGCGTTATTATCCAGACATAGAAATTATAAATGAACAAAAAGATTTAATCAAAAATTGTGCCATGAAATTACTTGATAAAATGGTACATCTTGATTGACCACCATTTTTACAGTCAAAATTTTAATATGGATTACCATAATTTTGATACATATTTTTTCGCTAAAAAATTTATCTACTAATTTTTTTATTCCAGTACAATACAATGCGATATGAAAAACCTCACATTCTACAAACTAATATCGAATCACTTATGGACTTACTCTACAATTTTCCCCCGGATGAAAATGATCCAGAAATAATAAAATTTTATGAGCGAGTTAAAGAAGTAGTAGAAGGTGCAGGAGAAGCCTCAAAAAGCGGCATCATAAGAGCTCTGATAAAACTGATGACCCAGCAGATGTTTACCTTCAAAAATTTAGTATTCCGAGATCACGAGTTTTGGCAAAACAAATTAAAATGTTATCGCGATGACGAACAGTATAGTGACCTTGCAACACCAGCTTTACAAGTTTACTATGAAGTAATAGCCAAAGTTTTGAGTGAACGAGCTCATGAGAATAACCAGAACGTCAAAGCAGTACTTCATGTACGTTTATCTTTGAATAATTATTTATCAACCATCATATACTTTTACTAGTCATTTTTTATCAACTTTATTTCCTATAATTAAATTAATATAAATACAGAGCTTGAAAGGTATGTTCGTGAGTAATCTGACAGAAGACCTAATGCTCAAAGACTTACGTTTGAATATCAACGGACTGAGTCAGTTTGCCGAGCCGATTAAAAAAGCATACAATGATATAGTAGTTGAAGAAATTTATTCTTTGGTAGCAAGTCATGTTATGCCTCTTTACTTCAGGTATTATTAATTGTAGTTATCAAAAATAATTTATTATAATTTTTTATTTGTATGTTTAGTGAAGAAGAAGCGCATGAATATTTCGAAGACATTTCAGACTACCAAGAATCTTTGTCACGGATTCTTGTAAATATATCAAACATATCACACGACCAAATTAAAGCAATATTAAAACTCAGCATACTTTTAATTAAAAGATATCCTGAGTTATCTCCTTTAAGTCAACGAAATGCAATCGACTCATTAAAACGAACTTTTTCAAATATTAGTAAATTTAAACTACGCGTTTCTCAGGAGTATATAAAAAATCTAGGTAAGTTTTCAAATTTTTCATCAACCTTTAAAAACTAATTTAATTTTTTTAATTATTTTAGTCTTTGAAAGTATTGTATGGAGTTGTTCTCACAGTCTTCTGATAGACGCTGAGCACCAACGGGACATTGAAAATTTACCAAAGCGCCCACTTTGCTACAAAGATTACGTACCTCTGTGGAAAGGCTTACTCAACTCAACAAACGACGAAATATCGGTACAACAGCAGGTGGTCAATGAAATAATAGAGGCGTGCATTGAATTGATAAAAACTCTTAATTTGAAGATAAAAACCCGTGAAGATAATACATTCTCCGACATCGCCGCTTCTCAGATCGCAGAAAATGAAACTGACTTCCGCATCTTTCACAACATGGTCGACCTGTACGATGAAATATTTGAAGACATAATTCCTTACGACCCGAAGGACAAATTTACTCGCTTTTTGTACCAAGTAATTCGTGCTTCCTACCAGTATCCTCTGATAGCAGGATTTTATCGACTAACCGATCGTATTTTGAACGCTAAGTACTTTATTGAAGACTACATAGAAGACAAAGAACTTAACAAAATGGTCGTCCAGTATTTACAAAATACGATAGACTCTATCGGTAAATTCCCCCAAGAGCTTCAAGTTTCTTGCATTCACCTCGTTCTGCATACTCCAGTAGTTTTTCTGTCCTATTTGATAGATCAGTCCATACCGATATTTAAAATAGCTTTGACGATAGGTCTTAGCGACTACGATTTAGCGAATAGTGCCTTGACTGCGCTGGAAAACTATGTCTGCACTATTAACAGTGAAAAATTGAATGAGTTTGTAAGAGAACTGCTACCTAACTTAGAAATGTACTTGCGAAGTAAAGAGAGTTTTCAAATATACAACGAATCGTTTGATGCGAATGAAAAGTCAGTATTTAACAACGATGAAGGCTTGGAAAAGCTTCAAAAAAGAATTCTGCTACTGTTCGGACGCTTTGAACAGTCGACAGTGCTAGAATTTTTGTATACTCAGTCTTTAAACACCGGAGCATCTTGGGATAAGAAGGATCTTCTGAAATATTCCTTACATTTTCCCGACTACACATTAGATGTCTACTTGGACACAATGCTGCCTCGTATAGTGGAATTGGCAGTAAATTCCAGCGATAGACGGAGCAAAGTCGCGGCTAGTGAAGTACTTCATTCATTGGTCTCGATAGTTTTGGGCAAAACCGTACAATATTTATCTGCAGACGCAGATCGTTTTGCTCCGCTCTACAAAACTCTTTGCCCTGTACTTTTGAGACTTGGCTGTGATGCAGATGATGTGATACGTCAGATCTTCAATCCGTTGGTGCTGCAATTAACTCACTGGTTAAGTTCAAAATTAATGTTGTACTCGCCATCAGTTTGTTACTTGGTAGACGCTCTTTTTGACGGACTCAGTGACGAAACAAATTCAACGTTAAGAGATTTTTCTGGGGTTTGTCTTGCTGAGTTTGCTAAATGGACGATAAAACAGTCTACAGATCAAGATTTACTGCGCGCTCCGATAAACATTAACACTATTGTAGAAAATATTACAAACTTCGCGCTTCATCCATCGAAAAATCGGCGTATTGCTGCGGCAATCGCTTTCAATTATTTACACAAGACCTTAGCTACTCATCAAGAAATAGTAAGTGTTTTTTGGCTTGAATTATTGTATGCTTTTATGAAAAGTCTCAATGGTTGTCATGACACCAGTATTCAGATATCTTTAGAGAATGTTAAGAAAGTTTTGATGAACAGATCACGGATTTTTAACCAAATTGAACCACGCAGAAAAGTGCCCGTTGAATTTGAAGGTGGAACACTTGAGGATACAGTCAATTGGTTGCTTTACCAATGTGAATCGCTGGACACTAATGTCAGAAAAAAATCAATGGAGCTATTTGTCGCGCTGTCGTCAAAAGTAGAAGCTCATAAATCACCCAAAAATTTTATGATGGCTTTCTTGGAGAACGATGGAATACAAGGGCTCAATACAATTATTTTAAAAGACTCGGCTGACGTAATGTTTGAAATTAATTTAAACTCGGAAAAAGCAGAGAAATTTTTGAAAATCATTTTGCGTATGCTAGATTGCTACATTTGGATTCTTCGGGCAGATTTGATCGACGGGGACAATCTTTTGTTCGAGCCCGTCAACCTGGAACGAAGAAGAATTTTTAATTGCATCAAATGTTTCATTGAGTCTGTGTTAAATCTGCAAGATGAAGAAAATAATTTCATTCAATGTCTTGCAAAAATAAATGGTTTAGTTTGCGAAGCAATACTCATTTTGTTTGATTTTATTATTGTGATTTTGACGACGGAATTTTTGGAAAAAAACTGGGCGCTTCAGGAATTATTTAACCAAAATTTGTACTCATTAATTTCTAGATGTGTGATAGAACCTCACAAAGTTGGATTCGATGTAAAGAATCTATTGGCTACGGAATCACTGCCTTTAAAACTCGAGGAACTTTTGATTACTCTTAAAACAAAACTCCCTGGAGAGTATTTGAATTGTATGGAAAATGAATTAAAGAGTACTGTTGAAAATTTGTGTCCGTTTTTATTTAATTTTGAAGAAGATCAAAATTATAAGTTACAAGTAAATTCAGTAAAAGGATTATTGTTACTAAATAAATGTAAAATTTTGCATAAATTAAAAGTGACAAACTTGTCTTCTCACACCTCAGAAGCAATTGATCAAATTTTCAATAGTTTAAAGGTCGGAGAATCTGATCAATGGTACATTGAATTGAGCTCCGACAAGAAAAAATACTTTGAGGTTTTGTTAAAACTGTTACTCAGCTATCAATCCAAAGCGGTGAGTAAAATTATCGGAAGATTGATAGCGGACAGAAATCTGGAGGGAGCACCACAATCAAAGATCACCCATGGTGAATATTTCTTCAACACTTTTAGAGATGTATTGATTCCATGTCTGTTGAATGACATTGATGATACGATGAAAGAACTAACCAATTTACTGCAAATAAATGCAGATGTTTCTCTTTTCATTACTGAAGAAATGGTGGTATGGGTTCTAAAGCACAAAAATGATTACCAAGATATTCTAGAACAGCTATCTGATGAGTTAATCGGCAGGTTTGAAGATTACAAGCGTGTACTGAATAATTTAGAAATGCGAAAAAAATTATTTAGAAGTATTTTCCGTACTGTTGTGCGTTTCAAAAATAATCCTTTGGAAATATCGTTCGCACGAGGACCAATGTATGCTTGGATTTTGAAGGAGTTGAATGAAACTAACGACCTTTTGAAAAAAATCAATGTGTTGAGTGATTTTCTAATTTGTTTAACTGGAGAAAACAGTCATTCACCCGAAATAAGAGTTTTGTTGGACGGTTTGAAGCAAGCACGTGAAGCTGAATGTACTGGTGGGATCACAGGAAAAACTCTTATGAATTCCAAAATAAAAGAATGCTTACAGAAATTGATAGTTTTACTGCCAATAACAAAATCTACGGACGTGTTTTACGCGACGATTAATTTCTCAATAGGTGTTGGAGATTATTTATTCAACGAAGCGACTTTTACGTGCATAGATAATTTCTTCAGTCACGTTGTTCACGACGCCTTGGAACATATTGAGGTGGCGTACGACTTATTCATGACAAAGACAATTGTGAGAGAAAGACTAGATGTACTGAAACATTTTCTTCTTCCTGGTCTTCGAGCTTGTAATTCTTTCACAAGAGAACAGTTTTTTAATAAATATATAAAAGATATATTTGGAACAATTATTCGAACTACCACAAACAATTTAGCAGATGACAAAAAATTGATTGTGTCACAAATTGGCTGCTACAATTTCATCGAATTGATGTTCTCTAATTTAAGTCTGGAAAAAATAAACAACAATGAAGGAGTTATAGCCAAGAGCATTTTAGGAAATTCATCAAATGAATTAGTAACTCAGCGAATTTTTAAGTGTACTTACCAAATCCGTAGTTTTAAATCTTCCGTACTAGACTTCCAAGAAATAGTTAGACTTCTTCACTGTGCAGCGTATAATTGCGCTATAACGATCGCCAGTGAAACTAAGGACTCGAAGTATTATTTGTCATTGTTCGCTGAGAACCGAAGCAATGGCCAATTGATTTGGGAGAATATAGTTGACTGCAAAAAAGTCTACGAATTATCGCAGACATTTAAAGAGTACCCAAAGCAGCGGAAAAAGCTGGTTAATATCAGACAGGCGGTAAGAGAGCGGCAGAATGATCCGTCAGTTTATACGTACATCAAGAGTTACGATTTAGCAACTTCAACGTTGAATGAAAATGTCTATGCGCATGACTTCAATGAAGTTTCTTTGCGAGAGCCATCTGCCGAAAAGTCAGTCACAGTTACGTTGGAAGTTGATGACTTCAATAACCATGAATGCATGGCTCCGATTTGTGCGATTTTGGAAATAATAAGTGAAACTGGACCGGGATTTATTATTCCAGATCCTAATAATCCGCCAAGAGGACTGACTTTGTTCGCGGGATCGATGGGCCATGTTCACAAAAATGCAAAATTGTTTATGCTTAAAGTAATTCTCAACAATCAAAAGATTTTCCGACCGTACGCTCGACTATTTTTGGCCCAAATAATTGATATTATTATTCTATTGCTTGATGATGGCCCGTTGAATTATATAATCACCGATGGGCTGCTGATGTTGGTGGATTGGGCAGAATTAGCGATACCTGATGAGAAATTACGGCAACCAGCTAATCAATTATTTTCTTTGCTGGTTGATAAAGTTGATGAAGGACTACCTAGTGAATATATCATTAGATATAATTTCCGGATTATTGAAGTACTTATTCAAGTATGGCACAAGATTCTTACTCTTCCACAAGGACTTGAACTTAGAATGAAGTGTACACGTGACAAAGCTATCAGGGTTATTCTCATTCTGTTGGCTAATAATATGGCCACGGATTTGATTTGTCGCCCTGATATTCTCGATTATTTAATAAACTCATTAAAAGAGGAGTGGAATGCCAGAGAAGAAGTTGTTCTTCACACTTGCGAAGCTATTGGACTCTTTATAAAGTTTTCTCGTACAGAAGAAAATGAAGATTTTGAAGTCGAAAGTGATATTACAGAGAAAATTCATCCTGTTTTACGGTCGCTGCAGCACAAAAATTCAGACAGGCTTGTCAAGTGTATTCATGTTATGGTTAATGCTTACCCTCTGCTAGCAGGTGAATTTTTTAATCACATAATTGACAACTTTTCCAAAGTCGCGCCACCAAGTATGGCGAAATGTTTGGAAGTGTTTTTGCAGAGAATACCACATATGAGCCCAGAAAATATAATTCGTGATCTAAATTATATAAAATTCTATGAATTACTGTCCAATAAAGTGATATCATGCGAGAAAGTGTGTCTTGAAATAGTTGAAAATCTCGTTGTAATTATTGATCCTGCAAGATTGGTTTCAATTGCTGAAACTGTAGAATCTTACGCTCAACATGAATCACCAGCTTATCGTAAATTGATGTACAATATTTTTATAAATATATACAAAAAGTATTCAGTAGATATCACGGATCTTGCAGACATTCAGAAGTTAGTTGATATGAGTAAAAAAATTCTTCTACGCGGTTTACTTGATCCTTTTGAAGAGCTCCAATCAAAATTAATGACTTTCTGGACTGAAGAAGTAGGTTTGCGTGAAAAATGTACTGATAGAATACTTGATATACTCGATATTTACTCACCAGAAGCTGAAAAAGATTTCTTGACAATTTTTGCCATAATATTTTTACACATGACCAAGAAATCACCGAGTTACAACCAAGTAATGTTTGAACCACTTAACCAGTCTTGTAATTACCGCGATTACGCCATTGCCATTTCGTGGAGAATGAAAAATCTTAGCTACAAAATTCCACTATTTACATCTTCGTACGTGAATCACTACAGCCAGAGACACTCATTCTCCAGTTTAAATGTAGATAATATACCGGAAAATGATTCAGATTTGATGCTGCGAGCGACCATGAATACACCTGCATCTTGGATGGATAGGTCTTTAACGAACGAATCTTTCGTCGCTACACCATCAACATCTACTCTGCGTGTAGATGATGTTTTTGTTATTCCAAAAACTCAGTCTCTCAACGTAATTTCAAGGCGTTTTCCCAAAGAATTTCCCGACAGCAAAACAACAAATATCAACAGAAAATTAGAACACTATCATAAGCGAGAAGAAATATTACGCCAGCAATTGAATAAACAACGTAACGATGTTAGATTGAATAGAACCTACAGAATTGGTGACTTTCCCGACATATCAATAACTCCTGAAGCAGTTCTTATTCCGCTGCAAGAGCTTTTGAAAAAGGATAATCTGATCTGCAAAGACTTGGCTGTTTCTATGATTCATTCCTTGATAGACCAAGTGCGTAACCAATCTAGGACAAAAGGAGACAATAATTACAATGATTTTATAAAAAAATTTGAGCTTAAGTTAAATACTATTCTAGAAAATCATCGAGAAAGCGGTCATATAATTGCTATGATATTGGAAATGATGTTCCGAGTAGAAAATATTAAATTTGACTCCAGTACAATAGCTAGAGTTTCTAAAGCGACAGACTTTAACTGTCTTGGAGCGCTTTTGCTTGAGAGAAATTTGATAACTGGCTCCGATGAACCTCCGACAAAAAAAATACGTCTTAATGAGTCCAGTGCTTCAGAATCATCGATAACTGAAAGCGATTTTACTGATGAGTGGGTGCAATTAGCAGATCTTTATGAGTCAACAAATCAAGTTGATGTTGTGCTGAGTATTTTCCAAAATCACGTTAGAAATCTTCCAGAATTGAGCCAAGCTTCTGCTGCTAGAGCAAACAATAAATGGGAAGATGCATTGCAATCTTATGAAGGCGCGCTAAATCATTATAACCTTAATATCTCTGAAGCGGGTGTAATTCAGCGACACTGTCAACAATCAGTCTTCGAATGTCTTGCGCGGCTCTCCAATTGGGCGCAAATCATCGGAGAAATTGAATTAAAAGTTGAAAATAATAGCTTGGAAAGTTTTATAGAAGTTGCTAAATCTCCTGGCGGATGGTTTGCACCCTGGTACTTCAAAGCTTTTATTTACCAGTACTTTACGATAGATAGCAGGGACCAAGCTGAGTTCGAGCGTACTCGCAAATTCAATGAAGATCTGGCAGTGTTTTTGAAAATAGAAGCTAAAGTTAAATTACTGAAGGAACTATTTGCAGAAGACATAGCGGCTGTTTGTGTGACTAGCAATCAAGAGCGATCTCAAGATTTGATCGACACTGCATTAGACCAAGTGAGAGAACAGTGGTTCCAACTGAGTCCACTTTCAACGGCTCTCAGATCACGCCAAGTTACCAAATTACGCGGGATAAGCAATGTTGATGTTTACTACAAAGCTACAGTAAGTAACCAAAATAAAAATTTATCAATTTTGAAGAATTACTGGTCAACTAGTTACCCTCATCAGCGAGATGATTTGCTGCCTTGGGATATGCACATCGCTTGTCGGGAAAATTTCTCCAAATCTTTGAAAGAAAATTTTATGGATGAGGATTCATCGATGGAAGGATTGGGAAATGAGGTTGAAGGACTTTTGACTAAACTCAAGTTTCATATGATTGAAGCAGCTTTTCAGCAACGAAACAAATGTTTGATGCGTAGATATTTATTTTCTATTGTTAATTCTTCTGATAAATCGACTCCTGAATTCACATTGCAACGTGGGAAATATAATATTTTATCAGCGCAATTAGGCTCTGCTGAAGATAAACTCAAGCAGTATACTTTGTGCTGGAATAGAGCACAAAGAATTGTAATTGATGAAGAAACTGACATCAACACGCGTATCAACACTCGGCAGTTTATCAGCGAAATGGCGACTAATTTAATTGATATCGGTAGTAGTGATCAACAACTGTTTCAACAGATTGTTAATAAAATAGAACAGAATATTGTGGAATACATGGAAGATTCCAATGATGTGATCAATGGCTTGAACTTATGCAGCGTCAGTAATCTCAAAGCATGTTGCATAGAAGCTTCACGCCATTCTCTGGAAGATAGCAAAGTTAGAGATTGTTATTTAAAATTGTTGAAATATTGTCACGGAAAAATACTCACTGGTGAAGTTAGCAGTGATCTAATCAAGGAGTTTGTGAATTCTACGCTAAGAGCGATGTTATATAACTCTCAGGAAGCAGCTAATTACTTTCCTTGTTTGTTGAATGTTGATTACCTGCAAGATGCAGAAACCAAACGAATTTTCAAAGCACTGACTCAAAAAATACCACTCTGGCGTTTTCTGAAGTGGCAAGCACAGTTATTGTACAATTTGTCGACTCCTTTAGAGGATGTAGTAGCGCCGATCATTAGAAACTTGTTTCAAAAGTACCCCAATGCGCTTATTTACAGCCTGCGTTTGGCAATGGACACTAATCCTCATGTTAAAAATCACCCCGTGATCCAGGAACAGATGCAGTTGCTTAGCAACCAAGTTGAGCTGGAAAACTTTATAGAAGCGATGGAATATTTAGTGAAACCTGAATTGTACTTACAGTATTATCTGAAAAAACTCAAAGGAAATTCTGTGTTCAATGCAGAGTCATTTGATTTTATCCTGAAGAAGATTTATCCGGATGTTAAGAGTTTGCAAGGAAATTTGTACAAAAAAATCAGTAAATATCATGAAGAAATTAAGCACTTTAAGACTATTTCTCAAGAAGAGTTTGTGAATCATTTGAATAAAATAATGCGGGAATTGACGCTTCAGGCGGAGAAATCTAAGGATAGTAATTCTTTGAAGGATTACAGTCCTTGGTTGAGTAATTTGAGTGGTACGGACATTGAAATTCCAGGGCAATACTCTGGTGACAGTGAACCCTTTCCAAAGTATCACGCGAAGATTATGAAAATTGAGCCAAAGGTCCATGTAATTAAGTCCAAAAGCAAACCTATAAAGATAACGATTATTGGCAATGATGCGAAGAACTATAATTTTTTGGTCAAGTTTGGGGAAGACTTACGGCTTGACGAGAGAGTTGAACAGGCGTTTGGTATTATGAATGAAATTTTGAGGGCGGACATTGCTTGCTCACAACGAAATCTGACGATAAATACATACCAAATAATTGCGCTGTCAGGGTCGTTGGGTCTGATTCAGTGGATTGACAATACTAGAAGTCTTAATGAGTATATTAATTTCGATATGAATGAAGAACAGAAGAAAAGACATGGTCGTATTAGGGAAGAATATGTCAGTTGGATGGGAAGAGCAAGTCCTAATGCTAATCCAATTGTTCAGTACAAAGAAGCTTTGATTAAATACAATTCAGAAGCAGTTGTTGGTAAAATGAATGAATTAATTGCCAGGACAGAGTGGGACTTGTTAAGACGTACTTTTTTCAAACTTAATCCTTCTTTGGAAAGCTTCATTACCTCACGAAGGAATTTTGTTGTTACTTACGCTACAATGTGTGTTGCGCACTGGATATTGGGAATTGGCGATCGTCATCTTGAGAACACTTTGATTAAAGTCGAGTCCGGAAAATGCACTGGAATAGATTTTGAATCGGCTTTTGGAGGTGGAATTGATCAGGTTTTACCAGAATGCATGCCTTTCAGATTGACGAGTCAGATTAAGGGACTGATGAAGCCGTTTGATGAAAATGATGAGTTTAAAACTATCATGACTCTTGTTCTGACGGGTTTGAGAAATTGCAAAGAGCCGCTTCTTGCGTACTTGGGAGTTGTTGCCAGTGAAAATCTTAATTGGAGTGAACATGCTCAGCAGCTAATGGAAAAAATTCAACATGATTATCATAGTAAGAATTTTTAATAAATTGAATTGCTTTTTAAGTTAATAAATTATAATTAATTAATTAAAAAAATTTTTTTTTCAGCTACAAATGTCAACTGGCTCCCGAAAAATAAATTTAATTATATATCGAGAAAATTGAATGGAGAGAAACCATCAGAGATAACTTTGAAAGAATTAGAGAATCAGCACTCTGATGAAAAGTATTACTCGCGATATTCTGCAATTTTAAAAGGTAAAGATGATGATCAGTCATCGATGAGGATGAGAATAAGAGACGGCAATTTAACGCCAGAAGAACAGGTAATGATATTTTAATTTTTGTTCAAATTTTAATAATGTTAAAAATGACTTATTTTATTAATTGTTTCAGGTGAAATGCTTGTTGGATCAAGCAACAGATTTAAATATCCTTGGTCGAACGTACGCTGGTTGGAGCCCATGGATATAGATTTGTACAATTTTCAATGTGATTAATTTTATACACCGTTTTTTTTTATTACTGAATCATGCAACAAAACTTGGATGAAATCCAATTCGTTATAAAATATAATATATAAATCATGTAATTTATAAAAATAAATAATTTTTGCATTTGCGAACTACCAATTGATTATTTTTTAGTTATAAATTTAAGACTCCAGAGCATCAAAGTTAAGAAATATAAATTTGATAAACAAATGGAATAATTGTTTATTAAAAACAGTATAAAAAATTGTTTACAACTACATTGGAATTAACATTACAGTACATATTATTTATAATATTAAATGAGAGCGAGTAAACACAAATTTGATTATTAAAAGAGTATTGAATAAAATTAAATAAGAAAGACTTGATCATCTGCAAGCATAATTTGATTATTTTCAGTCATCTTGTTCAAAGCAGCTTTTATTTCTCCGCCAGTGAATTCGGGGCTGTGGTTTTTATTAACAAACTCTTTGACTTTTTCCAGAGGAAGAGCTTGCGAACGTTGTTGTTGGAACAATTTATGCAGCAAGCTCTGGAATGTTTGTAATCTGCTATCAGTAATATCTGCGGGTGTTTCCTCTTCAGCCATAGCGACATCTGCTTCATCTTCTTCTGCAATCGGAGTTTCCCGGGTAGCAGTTTGAGAGCGCGTTACTTTTCTCACAGCCTCGTCAACATGGGAATCATCATCGCTGTCATATTCGTAGGGATCATGACCATCTTCACCAGCCGCGTCGCGATTTTTTCTGCTGCGCTTGGTCTTCCTAGGTTCTTCAGTTTCACCGTCAGTGCTCATCTCACTTTCTCGTCTCCTGCGCTTCTTCTTTTCTTTTTCAAGCACTCGTTTGAAATACGCAAACTGGACAAGCTCAATAGCAGCATTTGCATCGTCTACAGTGACAGTTTTGGATAGACGCGCTTTAGCATGGGCCGTCGACAAACGAATCAACGTTTCAAGAGTACGCGCAGTTATCGGTTGGGTCCTTGCAACATCAGACTCTACCATGTCCTCTGATCTGAGACGTGAGTACTCATCGGCAATCGTTTTACTGGCTTCCTCGGTCAACTTTGGCTTCATGCACTTGGCAATGTGAATATACTTTCGCATAAATTTAATACTGAGTATTTGATCTGTTTTAGACCGTGATTTTCCGTGTAACAGCGGGTCATATTTTTCGTAGATCGGGCTCTCGTTCTCATCTTCCACTTCAACAGCGTCTGGATTTTTTGTACTCAGAATATCAAGGTTACTGTTGAGCGGCAAAGCTTCACCGTCTTGTTCATTCGCGTTGCGATATCTGTGCATTCTGACAACATGGTCACTGATAATACGATCCTGCTCGGGGTCAACGAGATCCAAAATAACAAACAGCAAATCAAAACGTGATAACAAGGAATCCTGAAGTCCAATATTCTCCATGGGTGTTTTGTACTGATCGTAACGACCGTACACCGGGTTAGCAGCGGCCAAAACGGAGCAACGAGCGTTCAAACTCGCGTGAATACCAGCTTTAGCAATGGTGACTCTTCCCTGCTCCATGACTTCGTGGATAGCAGTTCTGTCAATGTCAGACATTTTGTCAAATTCGTCGATACAAATGACTCCTCGATCAGCGAGCACCATGGCACCAGCTTCAAGTCTTCTTTCGCCTGTTTCTTGGTCAGAAGTAACTGCAGCTGTCAAACCGACACCTGATGATCCACGACCTGTTGTTGGAATAGCTCGCGGTGCTGTACAGAGAACGTATCGCAGCAATTGAGATTTAGCTACTGAAGGATCTCCAATTAGCAGAATATTTATATCTCCTCTGAGCCTCGTTCCGTTTGGAAGAATCTTTTCAATACCCCCGAGAAGCAAGCACAGAATTGCTTTTTTTATGTACGCGTGACCGTGAATTGAGGGAGCTAATGATCTGCTGAGTAATTCGAAGATATCTTTCCGTGGATTGTGCTTCGCTAATTTTTTACACAGCGCTACATCGTCGTGGGATATCGTCAAGGTGGCGTCTTTGCTCAACTGAGTTATGTTATTGGCGATCAAAATAGTTCTGAAATAAAAATTAAGAAATTAAATGGTGATCGGATAAAAATAAACCCGGAAAAAATTTTAAAGTTATGGAAAATTCATATTATTTCATTAAAATTATTATAAAATAAAAGTTGTAACAATAATAATTGTATTACATCCACAATTTTCCTGAAAAACAGGCACCCCCAGAATGATCGCTCCATTTTTTATTACAAAATAAAAAAAAAATATCTTTAGCTATATTATTAAGAGAATAAGAAAAATTTTGTAGCCAGTGTAGTTATATGATAAAATGGGTTTTTATGATTAAATTTGGTATCATTAGAAAGGTCTTGACCTGGAGTTGTGCCTTTTTAAGGTTTCATATCATTTTCCCCAATAGTCAATTTATGATGATGAGTATTTAGGCTACATTCGAAAATGCTCTATCTCTAGACACATAATTAAGAAATTACCTTGTATCTTGTGAACTATTGACATTTTTAAAGATATAAGCTCATCCCGATAATAGACTCATCAAGAGCTTTCATTGGAGTACCCGAAACATCAATTTTTCATATATATATATTATATATATGTATATATGAAAAATATATCAAAATTCATGTGGGTACTCTAATGAAAGCTCTTGATGAGTGTAACATCAGGATGAGATTATATCTTTAAAAAGGTCAATAGTTAAAAAAGTACAGTGCAATTTAACAAAAGTCATTACTTAATAAAGCAAAGCTTTAATTTTTTATAGTTCACAAGTTACGGCAGTCATATAGTGACTGCAAGATTGCTAGTTAATATAATTTTTATTTTATAATAATTTCAATGAAATAATATGAATTTTTCATACCTTTAAAAATTTTCTCGGAATTCAAATTATATATACTTTTATTGAAAATTATTAATATAAATAAAAAATTAAGATGATTGTTATTTATTATTATTATTATTATTACCTAAAAGTGCCGTTGGTATAGCCGTTTTGCTTTCCTGGAAGACAACGAAAGTTTCCGACAATCTGTACTCGGTCTCCTGGCTTGCATAAATCAACCAAGTCGTTATCACAAACAATATCGACACTTCGTGGTAATTGTCCAGCGGGTGCTTTTTCAGGCATCTCTTGAATTGAAAGAGTTTGGTGGTCTTTGTACGTCGACAACCCAAACTCTGTTTCCAATGGATTGCCATCAGCGTCCGCGGTGGGATAAACTGCTGATCCAGGAAAAGCATCGTAAGACGTTAAATCCGTATAAGCTCGTTCCATAACACTTTTTGTAGTACTACAGTAGTGTACGCTCCTAACTATTTTTGGTCTTACCAATGAACCTAAAGCATAGTAATCAATGATTAATATTACAAATATAAATTTAGCTGGTAAATTTTGACAATTTTAAAAGTATTTTACATTTAGTGACGATTCCTTCAACACAGACGAGGTTGGATAAGAATCTAGAGGTCAGTGTTCTTGGGGTAACATGACGGTTACCAAAACTTCCTTCAAACCCAATAAAAAAATCAACATTTCCTTTAGCGTAATCAGTGTCAAGGGTAGAAACAAATTGTTTCAATGCATTTTGAAAAGCCATCTGTTCTTCGAAGGAATTTTCAAGCAAGCTAAAATAAAAAATAAAATAAATTTTATAAAATTGCATTAAATATAGGGCCGTAGTATTCAAGGTCAAGCCACCACTTGTTGCGTCGTTAAAATAATTACTTAATAGCTCGTTGAGGATTTTTCCGTCTCAAGTCATTGATATTGACAAAAAGTCGGTATTTATTTTCTTCGATCATGTTTTTGACTAAATTTGAATAAATTCCCTGATCTTCCTGAAAAGTCAAATAAAAATAGGGTTATATTTTTGTTATCAGCCCCAAGGTCAATAGTGTAAATACGGATACATTAACTTACAGCATCGTCTAGAAAATCGAGATACTCTCGTTCCATATCTTTTACCCTTTGATCTACATCCATTTTTGCTATTTTTTTGGCACAGTTCAATCAAACAAAAAGTAATTATCGTTTTATGTATGACCAAGTAGCGTTAGTCACAGTGTTTATTGTAATTTTCAAGTTTTTCGGCACTTTTAACGAAAAAATCGCGCTATAAAAAATTAAAAAATTATGAACAAAATAAAAATTACTCGCAAAAATATTTAAAACTTCACAGTTATCATTAGTTTTGAAATAAATATAAACTCCAAACAATTCAATACACGTTTTAACGCCACTTATGATGGCTTAGCGGTACTTTTGCGCGGGAAAGATGTTGTTACCCTGTCACGTGATCGAGTACGGGTCAAGTGTAATTACTTCTTATTACAATAACAGTCACTAGATGGCAGTTTTGTCGTTTTTTTTTTTTTTTCATAAAATCATAATTTTCAGATTTTTAGGATATTACAAAATTTAAATATCAGGCAATTCTTCGTATTTCATTTTATTAAAATTCATTTTCAAATCAATTAAGTTAGGAAAAAAACTATACACAAAGTAATTAAAATTTTTTTAGATACATACTCTAAAATGGTTTTTTTTTTTTTTTTAAATACAAATAATTTATTAATTCTAAAAACCTGTCAAGTGTATGCAATTTTCAATCCTATAAATTTTTATGTAAGATTGAATTATTTAATTGAAGACAATTGTTAAAAATATATAGTTTATAATTGAATGTAAATATTAATATAAAAAATTACTTAAAAATTTATAATGAACTCAATGATAAAATATAATAAAGAATAATACTAAAGTTAGCCGACGTTTTTAATTTTTTGATTTTTTTTCATTTATTTAATTAGAACTAAAAAATATTTTTTAAAAATTGCACTTATGGTTTTTCAAATTTATTATAAATGAAAATTTTTTTATAATTTTTTCAATACAAAAAATTCTAAAAATTTTTAGATGTCGGCTAACTTAATTTTCTTTAATAATGAGAGTTTCATTTACAAGATGAGTATAATAGTTCGTCAAAAATCTATGAAAATTTATTTATATCCTTATTTTTTTATTACATAAATTATATAATTATGACGCTGAAACGGAAGCATTGATAATACAAGGCGGTGTAAATTTAACAAACCGGATAGTATTTTTTACATTAATGTAAGTCGCTGAGATTGTGATAACAACCCCCATAACAACAACAAAGTAGCTGAACAAGTTAGTTAATCGCTTAAAAATAATTTTATATCTTTTATCTTTTGTTTTACTTTTAATAATCAGCGGCTGCAATCTTGTTTTCGAGCGAAATTTTTCCGGCTTAGTCGCATCAATAAACCCAGTTGCTGACTTGTTGCGCTCTGCCGTCATTGTATGAGGCTGGAGTTTTTTCTTCGAACGTTGGTCATCAACATCAGAAAGGAGTCCTTCCGAATCATCATCGTTGTCATTGACATCATTGTCACTGTAATAAACATACGTATAACGCTGACGATTTTTTTTGTTTTCAGGAATACCAAAGTAAGTTGACTTTGAATGCGCACGAGTTTCATCAACGATCAAATCATCGTCAGACTGTCGTTCCGTAGCTGAAAACACTTCTGAAGTCGAGCTGTATTTATCAAACTCATTTTTCATAGTTCTCGCACGTGCGTACATTATCGGCGGCAAAATAAATACCAGTGGTCCAGTTAAAGTTCCACCGATTAAAGACATCACGATATCAAAACGTGGAACTGATTCACCGACAGCAACTCCTAGAAATACTACTGCTGATCTCAATGCGCATCGTTTCCACCCAAATGCTGTAATTTAAAAAAATTATTGTTACACTAGATTAATTAATAATACTTCACTTAAATCAGCAGATCTGACAATTTTTCAAATTTTTATAGTTAAAAAAAGAATAGTTTTATAAATTCTAACTTACATTTTTGGTAATTATTATTTACAAGTGGGGTCAACCCCATTTTGGGCCATAACTAGGTGAAAAATCAACATTTTCAATTTTTTTTTATTCTACTTGTTTTTATGGAGCATTTATGATAAAAAAGTCGTGAAAAAAAAAAAATTAAGATTTCGATAGCTTTTTTGCCTTCAAAAGTTGGAAAAAATGTTTTTGGATAAAATTTCTATTTTATCTTTTTTTAATATATTTTTTTTTTTGAAAATTTCAATAAAAAACGAACATAAAAAAAAAAAAAGTAAATTCTCACAATTTTCTAAAAAATTTATAAATTTTTTTGAAAATTTGTAAAATTTGTTAAAATTGTGATAATCAACTTTTTTTTTTTAATTCTTCATTTTTTCATGTATTTTTCAAAAAAAAAAAAAAATATATCAAAAAAATTAAATAGAAGTTTCGTTCAAAAAAATGAAAATTGAAATGGTTGACCCCACTTGTAAATATTTACCACAATTTTTTTTAATTTCTACCCGTAGAATTTCTTTACTTAATATTTTAACTGCCACAAAAATCTAAAAAATAATCACAAGTGTATTAATTTCAGTATTAAGACTATTTATCAAAAAAAAAAAAATTAACTGACTTCGTCGGACGCGAAGTTCATCTTCAAGATGCAAAAAAAGTGCTGCATGGCCTATGACACTTGAAAATATCAACTGTAGTGCAGATAAGAGTATCGCGGCGCGACTAACATGTCCAGCTGGGGCTATTTGCAAAATATTTGCCGTGGTACTACCGGCGTACTTCCATGCCGCTAAACCAGCCGTCACTCCAAATAATAAACCGCTGACTAAAACATAAATATTTACAGTCTGAAGATACAGATACAAATTTATCTTCTCTACGTTAATTGATACATTAGATAAATAATTAAATATTTAAGTTTATTAACTGAGAAATGATAAAACGACGGCTTTATTGATGTGCTGCGGATGCCGCATATCCACTTGAATAGTCATCAAGGTCGGATGAACATCGAATTGAAACGCGAGCATGCTGTATCCTGATATAAATTTATCCCACGTTGGAGATGTAGGTATCGGAGCTGGTTCCAGTGCTCGGTCATCAGCGATTATGCACCACCATACTAGTACAGTCGTCATCGTCACTGCGATTGTTGAAAAAATTGCCAGAGGTCTGAAGTAAAATTATTAATTATTTTTTATTATTTACAGTTTGGTGGAACTTACTTCATGTCTCGAGGACTTCCCAACCACATCAAAGGACACAAAAAAATTCCCACCACAAGGAGCCAGTAGCAAAATGACAAATTAAATTGATTGTCTGATACTTTGAACCCAAATAATTGTAAATTTTGTGACGCTTTAATAAATAATTAATTAGTTTAATATTTTTATTTTTTAGGTTTTATTAAATGTTCAGACTTACCGACTAATAAATTAGGAATTCCACAGCCAAATATTGTCAGGTCTAGAAGCAATGTTACAAAAGTTCGCATTTTTTTTCCTAAAGTCATTTCCGTAACAGCTGCCAGTGGATGTCTGTGGAAAAAAAAATATTATTTTTAAATCAAATACTTACTACTAAATAATTATTTAAAAAATTTACCGATTTTTTCTCAAAATCTGAGGATCCAATGTAGTAGCGATAGTCCATGATTTCCCAAGTAATGAAGCTGTATAAATTTGTAAAAAAAAGACGACAATTACCAGAGAAATTCCTAATAATCCTGTAATGATATGAAGACACTTGTTATATTTAAAAAAATTATAAAATTGAAGATTAAAAATCAAGAAGGTCAACTTACCACAATGTATGATAGCGTGAGGTAAAGCAATGATAGGAAAGACACCAAAAATATCGATGATACAGAGAGTTGCGAAAAAAATACTAAGCCCAGAATTAAGATCACTATTGAGCAATGAGGTTCTCTCAGTATTCATTATGAATACTATTTATTGTCCTAGGTGCAACGTAATGAAAGAAATGTCTTAACTGGCAGACTTAAAACTACCGACGACCGGTTCTCTCATTGCGGCTCATCGTGAAATCCGATATGTGATTGAAACGAGTAGAGTGAATAACCCTCTGCTCATGGACATGGACACTGAGCAGCATAGTGGGAGCTCAAGAAGACCTACAAGATATTCTTCGGATATTTTTTAACTTAAAACAACTATTACATTTTTGTCAATACTTGAACACAGATTACTTAACTTAAAATGCATGTAAACAAAAAAATTTTTTTTTTATTTTTATCTTTATTTACAAAAAAATATATGCCATAAGAAATACATCTAAGCCATTATTCAAAATTGTAAAGATAATGATTTTTTTTTTTTTTTTTTTTTTTCATAGTCATAAAAGTTTAACTACTTAAATTTATCAATATATTAAAGTAGTAATATTATTATTAACATTAATATTAATAATAGTAATAATTTATATTATTGACTTATATAATTATAAGACAATACTCAAACTCATTAATTAATAAAAAAATCATAAGATATCGTAAATAAAACAATTAATAATAAACAAAACTAAGTAAACAGGTATTTTACATTAAAAATAAAAATTAATGAGAGCGTGAAATAATTGAAATGAAGAAATAGTGTAACAAAGTACTTCAAATATATTATTTAACTTCAATGGTATCGTCTTTAGTCCTCGCTCTCGTAGGTCGGCGAGGCTGGTGAATAGGTTGGGCTTGTCGGCGAGTAGCCAGGCACAGGAGGAGAATAAGTTGGGCTAGTTGGTGAGTAGCTTGGAGAAGTTGGTGTGTAAGTAGGACTCGTAGGTGAATATTTTGTACTCGACGGAGAATATTGTGGACTTGAAGGCGAGTAAGTTGGACTGGTGGGCGAATAATTAGGACTGCTGGGCGAGTATCTCGTGCTGCTGCCACCAGCGGTGTGTTGAGGTGAGCTGGGAGAGTAGGAAGGACTGGTTGGGGAGTAAGTTGGACTGGTAGGCGAGTAGGTTGGACTTGTTGGTGTGTACTGAGGCGAGGTGCCAGCGAATGATGGCGAAGTTGGAGAGTAGCTGGGACTTGTTGGAGAATACTTTGGACTGCTCGGTGAGTAGCTTGGACTCGCTGGAGAATATTGAGGCGAGCTTGGAGAGTAGCTGGGACTTGTTGGTGAATAAGACCGAGATTGAGGAGTGTAATTGGGCGAGCTTGGTGAATATGATGGACTTGTTGGAGAATAACTTGGTCCAGCAGGAGAGTAGCCCGGGCTGGTTGGTGAGTAGCTCGGACTCGTTGGAGAATACCCAGGACTGGTTGGTGAATAGCTGGGGCTGGTTGGAGAGTAACTATGGCTTGTAGGTGAATAACTTGGTGAGGTAGGAGAGTAGCTGGGAGATGTTGGTGAGTAGCTGGGACTCGTCGGAGAATAACTCGGACTGGTGGGTGAATAACTTGGAGATGTTGGCGAGTAACTGGGGCTAGTTGGAGAGTAGCTCGGGCTCGCCGGAGAGTAACCTGGACTTGTTGGAGAATAACTCGGAGATGTTGGTGAGTAATTAGGACTGGTTGGTGAGTATGTTGGGCTGGTAGGAGAGTAATTAGGACTCGACGGAGTCATGCTCGGCGACGTTGGTAAGTATGCTGGAGAAGTCGGTGAGTAACTTGGTGAGGCACCACCTGCTGGTGACATTGGGTAAGGACTCATACTTGGGCCTGGACTTCCAGGACTGCCAGGTTGTGGTGAGTACGCTGAGTACGCTGGTGACAGTCCTGACGCGTCTGAAGCACCAGATGGTGAGAAGCAAGCTCCTCCTGGAGTCATACCACTTCCTAGAGCTGTAAGTAAGAAAAATTAATTTAGTTATTAATAAATAGACTATAAGGTGGAACGAAAAAAAAAAAATATTATTTTATATAAAAATGTTTATACACTGAAAAAAAAAATTTTTTTTTGTCCAGAAAAAAATTTCTTGGCTCAAAAATCATTTAAAATAAATTTTGGTTTTTTGATAAAAGAATATCAATATCTATTATGATAATAAAATATTGGTATTAATTTTGATAGATTAACAAACGAATAAGTTCACTTGAAGTAAACAAAAAATAATTCGATCAATTCTTGTGACAAGAAAATTTTCTCAAAAGTAGTACTTTTTTTTCACTGAATAATATTTATTATAATAAATAAAAATATTGTTAAATATATTATTTTATAAAAAAAAAAAAATAATTCGAAATAAAATATAAATGATTGATTCTTACCAGGAGACATAGCAGATGCACCGTAGCCAGGAGTAGCTCCCATTTGGTTCCAAGGAGTCATCTGAGGACTCATACTCGGCGTAGCAGCGCTTCCGAAGAACATACCAGCTCCACCCATAACACTCGCACCGACAACTGACGGAATCTCGATACCTTGCTTACATTTTTCAGCGTCCAGCAGTAAGTCGAAGCATCCAGTACCAATACGCGGCAATTGTCCCATGATAATATTCTCCGACACTCCTCTCATAGGATCAACCTCAGCGTGAGAAGCAGCGTCAAGTAGCACATCAACTGTTTCCTCGAATGAACATCTCATGAGAGCACCAGTGTCCTGTCTGTTGATACCGTGACGCGTGATGGCCATCAAGTGTCCCTTGGCAGTCATCACATCACAAAGCAACGCCAAGTGACGGTAGTTTACATAAAGACCGTAGAACTGCAATACAGCGTTCATTTCTTTCTCGACGGACTTACGGACAGCTTCAATACCCAGCACTTGGAATATCTCACAAATATCGTTGGAGAAGGTCCTTACTGGATCGACGTCACGTTCACTGAGTACTTTCATCAAACTGGTACCGTCAGTTTCCAGCAGCCACTCGGCAATGGCTTTGAATTCACCTGTGTCTGTTATTATAATACGTTTCTTGGCATCCGTTTGAGGTAAATGCATGTACACTTTGCCAATAGTCTCAATACCCTGGAGTGTCATATCACTGAGCATATTGGCTTCAATACAACGTAGGAACATATCATCTTCCATTTTATCAGCGATCTCTTCTTCACCTTCATGGAATTTATTGTCCTCGCTGTTCATTATTCTTATCCGTAAAACTAATTTCTCAGCATTGTCGTCATTGAATATACAATTGAGATCGTCACCAAAACCAGCGTTTATTTTTTCAGCGATTTGTTCCATAGTCAACTTTTTATCAGTCATCCTCTTGCGGTCCAATTCAATACGCAACAGCCATGGTGATATTTTAGTCGGATCAAAGTCAGGCATTTCGTAGTAGACATTTACAAACTCCTGATCCTCTGCGATAACAGTATTTTGTGGATCTGGGTCGTAGTAAATGGCTGTGTTGGCTGTAACTTTTCTCAAAGTCGTGTGCTCGAGACGACAGAGCACATTTTTGGCTTTCTCTGCATCTCTCGCAGCAACACCAGTTAAAAATACTGTTAGCGAAGGAGCTTTGGGCTTCTTACTGATGTTAATAATTTCCTTAAGACGTGGCACTCCGAGAGTTACGTTCTTGGACGAAACTCCTGCGAAATGGAAGGTATTCAGTGTCATTTGTGTCGCAGGCTCACCAAGTGACTGGGCAGCCAACGCACCAACCATTTCACCAGGACAAACTTGAGCCTGCTGGAATCGTGTTTCTATTTCTCCAATCAACCACTCAAAGGCCTCGCTTGAGAGTCGGAATTCTTCAGACACACACTTTGTGCACAAAGTTGAGCGTACGAGACAGCGGAAAAGTAGCGTAGCGTTTTCATTGGCTTGTTTACTCAAACGATCTTCACCGGCTACAATGATACACCTCTCCAGCAAGGTCTTAACACCTTGAATAACTTTCATTGGGCTGAGATCAGTGGGAGCTCGTTTGTTGATATGGAAAATTTTCTGTACATTCCAGATCATTCTTTGTAAATTACAAGGTAATACCACTTTGGATTCACCGCTGGGGAAAATTTCACGCAAAACAGCCCGGTCTCTAGACAGTTGTTCCCACTCACGCTCAAGCTCTGAGATAACTTCTCCAGATCCCATCATTTCTCTGACAATGTCCTCGGTGAAGATTCTCCTGAGATATCTTTCATTGCTAGGATCAAACTTGAACTTCTTCTCAAATGCTTTGTGGCTCAGCTTGATCGTCGGCAGGTTCTGGAACTCTACAGTCTCTCCGCACAAACCGTCTTCACCGTAACGCAATTGGATCAACTGACCAACAGAATTTCTGACAGTACCGTCGTAGTGTACCATTACAGACTCCATAGCCTTTATCAAACGACGTTGAATATATCCAGTCTCAGCAGTTTTTACAGCAGTATCAATAAGACCCTCACGACCTCCCATGGCGTGGAAGTAAAATTCGGACGGAGTAAGACCAGCAAGATATGAATTCTCGACGAACCCTTTGGACTCGGGACCGTAATCATCTTTAATGAAATGTGGTAAGGTACGTTTACGGAAACCAAATGGAATACGTTTACCTTCTACGTTTTGTTGACCTACACAAGCAATAACCTGAGAAATGTTAATGTTAGACCCCTTGGATCCTGATACCACCATAGCCTTTAAGTTGTTGTACTCAGTCAAAGATGTCTTGGCAGAACTTCCAGTTTTGTCACGAGCGTCGTTAAGAATTCTGTTTACCTGATTTTCAAAAGTCTGTCGCAGTGTATTACCAGGAGTAGGCTCCAACTCCATGTTATGGGCTTTCTGGATAATTTCTATTACATCCGCCTTAGCTTTCTTAATAGCCTTTTGGATATCTATGTAAGTTTGCGGATCAGCAATAGTGTCACCAATACCGATTGAGTGACCCTCTAGCAACAACCACGTGTTAATTACAGTCTGAATGTTACCGTAAAATTTACCGCAGACGTCGTGACCCAGCTCCAACATACAAATATGAAGCAAGGAACCTGCAGACGTACCTAGAGTCTTCTTACACAAGATACCCATCACCAGCTCACCGTGCTCTACCATTACTTTGGTGTCTCCCGGAGAAATCCACTTGTAAGGACCGTCGTCCTCCTCGTCCGGGTGAGTACTGTGTGTACGGATCATGTTGACATTACCAGGAATAATCAGCGAGAATATTTGCTTACCAGTCCACAGAGGTTTTGGTTTTAAAATGCAAGGCTGCGGCATTTTACCATCCCAGCTCGGTAAAAACATAAGGATGTTCATCATCTGTTCTTTCTCGATGAAAACATCACGTTTGGTCATTTTTCTTACAGCCGTCAACGTGTCCTGTACAATACCCATGACGGGTTTGTTTGCTTGAGGAGTAATAATCTGACGTGGTGTAACGTGAATGTTCTCAACCTCAGCTCGCGTCTCCATAGACTGTGGAACGTGTAAATTCATTTCGTCACCGTCGAAATCGGCATTGTAAGGTGAGGTACAACTTAAATTCATACGGAATGTACTCCAGGGTAAGACTTTAACACGATGACCCATCATACTCATTTTGTGTAACGTGGGCTGTCGGTTAAAGATAACTAAGTCGCCGTCACGAATGTGTCTCTCGACACGGTAACCACACTGCAAATGCAAGTCTGATGGCTTAGGATGGTACCTCAAGTCAATACGCTCACCGTTGTCTCGTACGATGTACTTGGCTCCAGGATACTGGGAGTTACCTCGTTGAACCAGCTCTTGCATTTTGTCAATATTAAATGGAGTAACTATTTCTGGGAATGTTAAATTCTGAGCGATACTACGAGGCACACCGACCTGGTCGATACGTAGATTTGGATCTGGTGTGATGACAGTACGGGCTGAAAAGTCGACACGCTTACCCATAAGGTTACCACGTATACGACCTTCCTTTCCTTTCAGTCTCGCTTTGATGGCTTTTAGAGGCTTACCAGATTTCTGCATGGCTTTGGGCATTCCCGGCATGTCGTTGTCAACAAGTGTCGCCACGTGAAACTGCAGCATTTTAATGTTCTCAGCGATAATGTGAGTTGCAGCTCCGGCTTGCTCGTTACGCAGCAACTCATTATTTGATTTAATAATATCGGCCAACTTGTGAGTCAAATCGTCCTGATTTTTAGCAGATCCGTACATAATAACTGCAGGTCTTACTGACAATGGTGGTACTGGCAACACGGTGACAATCATCCAATCGGGTCTGGCAAACTTGGGATCCATTCCGAGTATAAATGACTCTTCATCAGTAATGTGCTTGAGAATTTCCCAAGCACGTTCAGCAGTCAGTACTATTTTCTTGTCCTGTGAATCTTCGTTTACTTGCTTCCACTCAGCAGAGATGTCTAATCCTGTCCTACGCAACTGTGGTTGCCACCTACCACATCCACCGTGCGGTTGTTTGCCTCCAGTTGGTGGAATTTCTGCACCTTCTTTATTGATATCCATTTCATCTCCTCCTTCACAAATTTTTCTAGTTTTGCACAGGTCGTAGATAAATGCGAGTCTCTTACGAGGTTGACCTTTTGTTTTCATTACTACTTCTTTAATTTTAGGATTTTGAGGGCTGATAAGTAATTTTGAACAGAAAAAACATACACACCGTAATATTTTAATTGTTTTAGTGATAAATCCAACGTGAAATACTGGCTTAGCTAAATCAATGTGTCCGAAGTGACCAGAGCACTCGGTCATGTTGCCAGCACAAGTTTGACATCGTGAATTCCTGTCGATTACACCCTGACGAGGATCCATGAGACCGCCAAGTTTTGGACGACCTCCTTCCATCGTTTCCGGAAATTTAATGCCACCCTCGGTGACAGACATACGGCGCTAAAATAATAATTAAACATATAAGTACATTTATTCATTGTAAATAAATTTTTTGAGTTATTTTTCACAAAATTACGCAATTTATTGATTCACTTTTCACTTGCATAGAATTATTTTTATGAAATTTATATAAATATATCACTGTTATTTTTTAAAAGTATAACTAAAAAAATTTGATTACAAAATTTTTTTTAAACAAAATTAATTTTTCACTAATTAAAAAAAAAAAACAAACTTAAGAGTTAAATATTATCTAATTAAAAATTTGATATTTTTTTTCACTAATTTGGTATTTATTTTCACAACGTAATTTTTTTTTTTTTTTTTTTGAGAGAGAGAGAGAGTAAATACTTGGAAACTATATGTACATAATGTACAATGGCGCGGCGCGAGAAGGTTGGTAAATGAGTCACTGATTTTAAGCCGAAATCAATAATAATAAATAAAAATTATTATCTCAAATGAATAATCAGTGTTAACTGAAGCAACTTACGATTTCATCTGGAGAAAGAATTCCAAATTGAACCCTTTTAACAGTCCTTATAGGAGCCTTTGAGTCGGATGTCGCCATCTTGTTATGAACGAGAAGGCTTCTGTGGCCTTCTGCGTCGCGACTCGGTCTAGCCGAGCGCAGCGGCGGCTACGACACCAGCTCGTTGCTGTGTCTAGTAGCGGCACGTAACTAAACTACTCAGTACAGTTTGTTTACTATCCGTATTGAAAAAATCAGCTCACAACAATCTACCTACTATCTTTTCTGATAATTTTGTCTAACCACATTGAGCCAGCTACGAGATGAATTATCTGATTGGTTATAAGGTATACCTATATTTATTTGTTATTATGGAGACGTGCTTACAAATATTCTGAATTATTAAAATGAATAATAAAAGAAAAACAAAATATTGAAAATTTAATTATGACAATTCATGTTTGAGAAAAAATAATTGTTTTAGTTGTAAAAATTTCTCAAAAATAATTTTTATTACTTTTAATAGTTATATGAAAAGTAGAGTGCATGCTCGCTAAAAGATGAAAATAAAGTTAGCAGACACCTGACAATTTTTAAAATTTTTCTTATTGAAAAATTTATAAGAAAAAAATTTTTTTTTAATTTCACATGTAGAAAATTTAAAAAAACAGTGCACGTAATTTTTAAAAATATTTTTTTAGTTCTAATTTAATGAATTAAAAAAATATAAATAATTGTTAAATGTCTGCTAATTTTAGGATTATGCTGAAAGCTATTCTAAAAATTGAGAGAAAATTTTTAATTTTCATGAATTGATAACTAATAATTATTTATATTAAAGTTTTTTTTTAATTAGATTTTATAGTTTCGTTGTTTTATTTTCAAAATTTTCTATAAAAATTATAACTATATAATTATATTCATTTTTAAAATCAGAGGATTTTCCGCCATAGAAACCATGTTTTTCTTGCAGCCAATAGAAGAACGGGAAATAATTTAAACGTACGACCAATAGCAAAGCCCTGCTTCACCGACTCAGTTGCCGTTAAAGTACGCAGAAACGCCGGATGCGTCATTGCAATCTTTCTCTCTCTTCATGTTTCACAACAGTTAGTTCAGTTTACACAGGCAAATTCAAAGTAAAATTCATTCTATATAAGATAATTAACAATATTTGTGAGTTTAAGTATAAGTGATGAGTGAAGTTAAAAGTGAATATAATCGAAGGAGAATTATCAAAAGAGACAGACACCTGCCATTTTGATTGTCACCAGAAGAAGCGGTTTCGGTCATCTGGCATCGCACGGTGAAGAAATAGCAGTTAAGTGATGATGTTTAGCTGTCAACAATGGGAAATTCATGATACTGGAATTAGCAGACTTTTGTTTTACTTACAAAATTGAATAGTTTTAGGAAAATATTAAAAAAATTTCATGTTTATTTTTTTTATAATTATTTATTGCTTAAAAAAACCATAAAAATTATTAGATGTCTGCCAATTTCAGTGTCATAGAGACTCCCGTAAGTGTTCTGGAGGACCCTTCTGCGTATTATTTCTTCGCCGAGGTTAGTTATTACATTTATTTATATATTTTATAAATATTGTCTTAGAAAATTTATTATAAATATTGATGGTAGTTAATGTATTGAATCAAATTTGTGGAAGTTGAATTAGATTTGAAAAAATTTTACGGCAATCAAATATTGATCATTTTTATTTCGAAATAAATACTCGGTACTCATGAAAATTAAATTAGCCGACATTTAAAAATTTTTTAAAAAAAAAAAATTCACTTTGTTAAAAACTTCAAAAACTATAAGTGCAATTTTTTAAAAATATTTTTTTAGTTATAATTTAATAAATTAAGCAAAATAAAAAAATCAAAAGTGTCGGCTAACTTTATTATTATGTACTCATCAGATAATTTTTATTGCGTTTGTAGAAACAATTTTAATTAATATTATAGAAGAAACGATGAAATATTATGCACATGTGAAAAGTTTTCACAATTATGAATTTATATTTTTTATAAAACTGAAATTAACAGACATTTGACAATTTTTTATCAAATAAATTATTAATAAAAAAATTCAGATGTAAAAATTTCAAAAAGTTTGAGTGCAATTTTTCTAGTAATGTTTTTTTAACAATAATAAATTTTTTTTTTTTTAATCATAAGAAATGTCAGATGTCATTTGTTAAATATAGTATCTGATAATTTTATTTATAATGAATATTAAGTTAGCCAACATCTTAAAATTTTTACAATTTTTTTTATTGAAAAAAAATTATTATTCTAAATGGAAAAATAAAATTTGACATGTAGAAAATTAGAAAAACTGTAAGTGCAATTTAAAAAAAAAATATTTTTTTAGTTCTAATTTAATAAATGAAGCAAAATAAAAAAATCTAAAATGTCGGCTAACTTTATTATTATTCGTTATTTTTATTTATATTATATTAATTAGCTTTTATAATTTGCTGCATTATCATCATCATCATCATCAGTCAGTTGATAATTGAAATTCACTACCTGCCAACAAGCGGTAAGACAAAAACCTGAGCGATAATAACAAAAGTTACAGTGTATATAAGTGTGCGATATCATGCAAGTAAAAGCATGGCTTCCTTCTTATATAAATTATTATTTACCACAAATAAAAATAATAAATTTAAATTCATAAGACCCATTTCCGCAATCTCCCAAAATTATTCATTAACTCACTCAACAAAAAAACAATACCACCATGACAATAATCATAGCGAAGCATCAAAGCTAATAAGGAAATTTAATTTAACCTATGCGGTATCAGTCGGCCTTTTCGGTCTTGCCTACGGTATTTACAAGTGCAGTGACAGTGACAGTGATAGTGTCAAAAATGCAAAAAAAAGTTTTGACAAATACTACAATTTACTAGTACCAAAAGTTTTCGCAAAATCCGACTCGTCAAATATAGGCGATAACCGGAGTAAATACAATTTCATTGCTGATGTTGTGCAAACATCATTGCCCTCAGTCGTATATATTGAAATTAAAGATCAAACGAGGTAATTTCAAATATTTGTTAACGTCATTCTAAATTATTTACATTAATTATTTATTTAATCAAACTCTTGTACAGATTTTAAATGAAAATGTTTCATTGAGACGTTTGTATAATTAATTTACCGAGGAATTGAAATATATCTAACTTTTTTTTTTATTATTTAACACAGCAATATTTAATAAAAATGAATGTAAATTTAAAAGAAATATTTTTTCAGTACTCTAAACAAAATCAAAAAATTTTTAGTTTTGATTTTCTTTAAAAAATAAATTAGTACGAAGAAAATATTTTAAAAAAAATTGCATTTTTAATTTTTCAAAATTCTTACATGAGATTTTTTAAGAATTTTTTTTTTTTTGTCATAATTTATGTGTCAAACAATTCCAATAATTATCAGATTTTTGTTGACTACAATATCATTTTTATTAATTAATGTTATTAAAAATATTTTGAGCATATAAAGTAAGAAAGTAATTGTTGAGAATAATAATTAATTGAAAAAAAAGACATGATTTTTTTACAGGATACCCAGCTACGACTAGCAATGGATCAGGTTTTATTGTCAGTGAAGATGGACTGATACTTACCAATGCTCACGTTGTTGTAATAAAAAAACCAGGTGTACTTGTCAAAGTAATTATAAACATACAATCCTTTTAAAGTTATCAATATTCATAAGTTATTATCATATAATTATAAGTATTTGTTTATTATTAATTAAATATTAGCTGAGAACAGCGGGCGTTTATAACTATAAATTAATTAGGAAACTTATTAGTTCAAAGTCACAGTTAAGAGTATTTCAAAGTGACCCAATTTATGAGTTTATAATAATGATAATTAAAAATTACTGATAAATTTTAAGAAATGAAATAAATAAAAGAATAGTTGATATTTATTATTAAAGTTTGAATATTAAAATACGGTGAAATAATTAAAAAATATAAAAGTTTAACGAATCAATTTAAATATTTGACATTGGCTTATTTTAAGTAATTAAAATATCAAAGATAGATACATGCATAAAAGCTTAATAATTGGAAATAAGTCCTTGTTTTGAGTTGACCTTGCTCTGAAAATTGATCTATTTTTAAAATATCTTTTTAATCTTCAATGATTCGTGTCTATTGTACTCTTTAATTAATAATTTGTGCGATTTTTTTCGGTTACTCAAAATTAAAATCGATACTTTAAACGACTCAGAATAATTTATTTTATGCACTTGTGCATCATTTGATACTCGCTTAAATACTCTGTCGTACTTGATTCCACGGGTTTTAATTATTAATACGGGTTAATTAATTTAAAGTTGGAATTTTTTTATCAAGTCTATTGTTAATTTAAAAGTTGGCAAAAAATTTAACAGGTTAAATCTCAAGAGCTGACTCTCGGGTACATTTATTTGTATTTTTATTATAAAGGTTTTATTAAATACAGTGAGTAGTTGTTTTTTTTTTAATTTTAGGTCAGGCTTCAAGATGGATCAACTTATACGGGAAAAGTTGAAAACGTTGATCTGCACACTGATTTAGCGACTGTGCGAATTAATAAGGTATTTTTATACTTAATTCTATTATTTAGTTTTTATTATTATTATTATAATTAATATCAATAACTGTTGAAAAAATTTGTATATTTATCACAGAGAATTTGAATTAAAATTAAAAAATTATATATTAATAGTAATTGTTCAAATAACAAAAAATGAAATTAATTTCTCTAAACTATGTTGAAATTAGGCGCGCAGTAGCCTATCGGATCTGGCCCTTGTTTACCAAAGCGTTGGACCGGGTTCGAGCCCGGCGTACACCCATTAATATTTTCAATCTTTAAGTGTATTATTCTGCTCAGCCCAAAAGAAACAAGTTCAACCTCATAAAGTTTATACCTTACCGTAGTCGCTCCTGACCTTAGTAGTTTATACGATTTTGAAAAAAAAAAAAAAAAAAAAAAAAAAAAAAAAAAAAAAATAAATAAATAAATATGTTGAAATTTTAAATAAATTATTCTGTAAACACAAATTTTTTAATAGCAAGGCAATTAATAATAAATACATAAAAAAAAATTTAGAAAAACTTGCCAGTGATGAAACTCGGAAGTTCATCAAACATACGACTCGGTGAATTTGTCGTCGCTATAGGTTCACCGCTAGCGCTTAGCAATACCATCACTAGTGGAATTGTTAGCGGAAATAGACAGAGCGAAGAACTGGGTTTGGATCATAAACACATGAGATACATTCAAACCGACGCACCAATTACTGTGAGTATTGCGACAGAAATTTACTGTTGGAGAAAAGGTTAACAATCGTGTAAATTGTGCACGGAAAAATCTAAAAATAGAACTAGAAAAATATGCTGAATTGAAAAAAAATCGATGTAATTTATATAGTTTGGGAATTCTGGTGGTCCACTAGTAAATTTGAATGGCGAGGCAATTGGTATAAATGCGATGAAAGTCACCCCTGGGATTTCATTTGCAATACCGATCGATTATGCTAAAGAGTTTTTGAGAAAAGTTCAACTACACAACCGAGGTAATTCTATTTATAATTAATTGTTTAATTATTATTTCATTACATACATTTATAAATTTATTTTTATTGTTTTATGTTATAATATTACACAAACAATATGTTAAGTAATAATAAATAATTATTGACTATTAATGGTGTCGTTTGCAGACAATGTTGGAGCTGAAAATAATACTGAACACGATAAACGGCGTTATGTGGGCATTACGATGCTCTCTCTTACGCCTGATATTCTCTTTCAGTTACAACAACGCAATAGTAATATACCAATTAATATAAGACATGGTGTTCTTGTATGGAAAGTAATTTTGGGGTCACCTGCACACACGTAACTATCAAAAATAATATTTTTATGGATTCAATTTTTTTTTTTAATTACACAAGCTAGCACAATTTTCGCGAAATATTATTTGGCTACTGCAATTGTTTATTTAAAAAAAAAGTTGTTTTATTTGCGCTTTAATACAAGCGTAACAAAGCCAGTTCTGAATTTTCAATGAAAACAAAAAAAGCACCTTGTAACATTTTTTTATTTTTAAAATTACAGGATAGTATTATTAATATTTCATAGTATACGGTATTTCAACATAAATGAGAAGTTTTGAATTACATGAGAATTCATACACAATTCAACGCAATATTAAATTTTCCAATAACTGTTAGCTCGCTATTCTGTTTTTAAATAAAAATATCAGAACTAATATAATATTAAATTGAAAATCAAAGTACTTCAATTGGCTTCAATGCTTTAATCAATAAATTATTCAATAATAACCGATAAATTGAATTTTTTGAGTTAATCGAAATACTCCATCGTTATTGAGAAATATCGATTTTATTTTTATTTTTTTTTATACCTTTTAACAAAAAATGTCTGACATCAAATAAATTTACAGAGGAGGTCTACGCACTGGAGACATTATAACACACGTAAACGACGAGCCAGTGGTTGAAGTCGCAAATATCTACAAAGCTATTGAAAAACCCGGCGCCTTGATCATGACCGTTTTGAGAAATGGCGAGACACTCAGGTTGCGAGTCGAGCCCGAGGATGTTTAAATTATTACCTAGCGTATTTTATATTTTATATATATCGAGACACGCTATGTCAAGAAGGAGTCATTAAAAATGTTTGCAATAAAAAGTAAAAATCATATGAATGCCTATATTTATATTTACAGAGACATAGTATGGACGTAGACTGATACTGAGACTAAATCTGAGATAGAGATAGCGATAAAGATAGAATTTTCCTACGTACACAACTTTTTTATTTTTTTTTTCTTTTTTGCAAATATAACCGGAAAGACGATAAATGTACTGGTGGATTGAGGGTAGAAAATGCAGTGGGTGTGGTCTCAATATTAACTATACACATATGTGTATGCACTTTTTTGTTCGCATATTTGATGTGTTGGCGATACGAGGTTTTACGACACACACCAACAAGCCCTTCGTTAGTAGTTAATATTTACATCCGTGGGAACGCAGTATTTGAACAATATATTTGAACCATTCATACGGAAATTTCATTGCATATTTTGAAAAATATTAATTTGACTTTTTTATTTTTTCTCTCTAATCTCTTCTTTTATTTTTTTTTTATTTTTCATTTTCATTACCACTCCGACGAAAAATAGACAAGTACAACTAAACCTACACATTAAATGCTTCGTAATTCACCATGAATTTAATATCCACGCGAATGAAAATCTCCGGATGTTATATTCACTTGAACAACTTTTGAAGAGCCACTATTACACCAGTATCATCGAACAATTCATTAAACTTTATCGGATACTCACAAATAAATGACGCAACAAACAAACCGAATGAAAAGCACTGAAATGAATGGACGTCGATAAATTTCCTATACATATACAGTGTGCACACATTCCTAACTGATACACATACGTATTAGAACTCGGAGAATTTTTTTTTGCTATCAACCCCCGTACCGATAGACATAAAAATCGCTGCACTGTTTTTTTGTTATTTCGACTATTGATCAGTTTATGTGGTTAATATACAAGTTTAGTTATCTTTGTCCCAGTTGACCGTTGACATTTTTCAGCTGGGGTTCAGATGCTACGATGGTAACACGGGTGATCGAGTAGTTGGGTTTCGAGCCAATATTTTCACAGCATAATTTTGTTTATTTTATTACATCGCAAATCAAGCGCATGATGAGGGAACAGAGTTATCAAGCATGAAACCCAATACAACACAGCTATTCTCATCAAAGCTCAATTATAATTGTAAAAATAATACCGGCGATAATTACTGTAAATATATAAAATCAAATAATGAACAGAATATATGGTATAAAATTATTACTTAGTTATCTCGTACTAAAAAAATTCAGTTTAAAAATTAAAAAAACTTTTGTTTTATAAATAATTAAAATTAGATTTTTTTTACAAGTTAAAAGTTTTTTTTTAATTATGTCAGTAATATTATTAATGACAAAAAAAATTCAAAATATTTTCTTTTATTTCAAAAATTTTTTAACCAAACAAATTTTCATAAAAATAAAAATAATATGAGGGTATTTTTTAGCGGTTCTGTGATATAATAACTTATATAACATATATTGAAAAGATATTGTAAAAATAAATAATTGAAAAAGAATATAAATTCCATGAGGTGGCAATGAACTCTGGTTTGCGGTGAGTAAAGATTAGATCGACTAGGTTTATAGTAGCTTGTTGTCGGGAACTATATCCCAAAAGGTATGTATATGTTAACGCTAAGAAAGAATGTTCACGCTCTCACGCGCGATCTTCATAGCTCCATATAAATACTCGACGCGGATACCTTGCATAAAACGACTTGGCGTGCACTCTTGTTCCAGCTCCAGCAAAACTCGTTCCCTTTTATTTTCTTTTTATTATTTTTACCATTTCATCCCGGGGAATAGCAATAGAAGTTACGTGGCTCTTGCGCGAGTAATGCGTGGGCGGAACAGATGCCCCGTTGTAGAAAAGGACGCCCGAAAGGGTTACACCGATAATACCATTCGACTCGGAACTGTTCCGTCTACAAGGTCTCTCCTTCTTATAACTATCTATTTATCTATCTATTTATTGCGTACTGTACCCTCTGATAATATGTGTTCAGCTATTATCATTATTATTTTATTTATTAATGTTTTCGTCTATTATTATTAACCGTAAAAGCTCTCGCTCTAATTTATCGCGCTTCCTCGTCCTCATTTTCTCTCTTTATTTTTATTTTGAATTTAACTTGCGTTGAAAAATTTATCAGTCAATTAAATTATAAAAGCAATCTACAATCTAAACTCATACGCATATTTATTCATAGCTCGTACTAAATTTGAATGGGATAATTTGAAATAAATTGCTGGTTATCAAAATTCAATAGCAACCATTAACGATTCTGTTAAATATGCTCATGAATTTTGTTAATTAATATAACGAACGTTATAAGTGAGTTATTATTCCTGTGAATAATAAGAGGAGCTCAAATCTATTTAGAGAGAAAATAATTTTTATAAAACTGATATTTTTTTAATTCAACCATCAATTTTTTTTTTTATTATAATCAACTGCCATACAATCAAATTCAAATATTCACTCAGAAAAAATAAATTTTTGAGTAGAAAGTAAAATTTTCTTGAGTCAAGGAAATATTTATCAAATTTTTTGTTTGAAGAAAAATTTTATCTAGGCTTATACTTTTATCTAGGTTGATAAAAAAATTAATTTTACTCAATAAAATAAATTTTGGAGCACGATCATTTTAAACAATCTCTATGTCTTGAATCAAGAAAAAATTTATATTTTAAAAACTTTTCTTTATTAAAAGTAATCAAATTCTTCAAAATAAAATTTTTAGTTCAAGATTTTCTCTCTCATAAATCAATTTAATTTTTCTAATCAATGTACTAGTCCTCAAAAAAATTTAGAAATTCATTAAAAATAATATAAAAAATTATCAAAAGAAAATTTTCTTTTTAAAAAGATATGGCAATACACACAAAACTACTTTTTTATGTATTAACTATTAAATCATCGATCGACATTGTGCGTAGGCATATATGGTGTAAATAAATCTATAAATGTTAACATTGTTAGATACTCCGATAATACAACGGTATAGGTAGTTGAGATAGTAATATTTAGAGACCTAGGATGAGAATAATTGATCATATGTGGGCTATCTTCTGTATTTGACATGCATAATATCTCTCCGAAGGTTTCAAGTACATTTTAGTGCCAATGTCAAATCCAACGCAGGGCACCTACGTGATCTATTGTTCCATCATGGATTGCCTGACGTGAGTAATGTCAATGGAATTACTGGTATACGTGCCTACTAAGTGCGATGGCGCGCACGTTTAGTTTACATTTACGATATTTGTGGTTTGATTATAACCGTAAATTTATTGCTAAATTTAGAATTATTGTTGAAAGTTACTTTAATATTTCAATATAATATAATTTAATACGGTGTTAACAAATAAATAAATGTATTAGCGGTGAAATTTATTGAGAGATTATTCAGCGGAAAAGTAACGAAATCGAAAAAATTGAAATACCACTAGCTGCGGCTTGAAGTAGGAGAGAGAGAGAGAAAGAGAGAGTAAAGCTTTACTAATCGAATACGGCGTGACAAATGTAATAAAAAGATAAAAGATGGACGCTAAAAAGGGTTTAAAATATGAAATGTATGCGCGTTAAAATAAAAATTATTGGTGTAGTATAAAAATAGCAATAGCGAAGAGAAGAAACGCGTTCTTGCATAGTAGATTGCGGCTGTGTATGTTATGACTGAAACTGGGAACTGCGACGCCGAGGAAAAAGATGAGGATGAGGATGAGGACGAAGAGGACGACAAGGATGATGACGATGCGGCAGCTCGTGCTGAAAGCAATAAACTATGATTTATCGAGGTGAAAATCGAATCCCGGGTGATTTGTAGTCACGGAGTTGGCAGTAGGGAGGATTCCATAGGGCCCGCCGGTGGTATCCTATCAGTAAAACTGCTGCCCTGAGGACAGTTGGGTAAAACAAGCAAAAGGCAAAATAATCTCCCTTTGCTCTCTCTATCTCGGTCTGCACATTCGGATTGGTACTTGTGGATGTATGCATGTATGGTACATCCTGCATGTATGCATACACTGTTATGTATAATGTGAGGCCCGCGCACGAGCCCGCGCATCCGGGCAATCCTATATAAGAAGATGTGACGCGCCGGTTTCAACTTCTTCGCTCTCTCATGTAACCTACGTTGACTTTATTATATTTATACCTGCTAAGTGATTGTTTATTTAAATATCTCTATTACTGTGTTATTTGTTATTTATCATGTTTCGTGTGAGTAATTTGTGCTACAATTTTTTTTTATTTTATTATTGTAATATTGATGATGCTTGGGATTTATGCTAATCCAATTTTTTAACGTATTTTTGGTTTTGTTTATTATTTTTTATTATTAGATCAATGTATACTGAATAAAAATTTGAGTTGATTCAAGGAAAAATTTTCAAACCAAGAAAGTTATTTTGAAGAAATTCATTTTTATAAATTAAGCAGAAAAGTTCTTGAACTAAAAAATTTTTCTTGGTTCAATAATTTTTTGTCTTGATTTAAATGGTGAAATTCTCCAGAATTTCATGAATCAAGTTAACTTTTGTGCGGTGTAGGCTTTTCTTGCAAATTTTTTAAAATAACGAAACTGATGATTTTTATTTATTAATTTAGACCTTTGATTTTTTATAATTTTTTACTTAAGCGTTTAAAAAAAAAATCTTAATTTTCTTTAATCTAATATTAGGAAAATTTTGAGTTCAAAAAAGTGTTATTTTATTTTATTACTAATTTCATGGAAGCTAATTAAAAAGTCATCAATAAAAAACTCCAAAACAAATTAGCTATTCATGTCAAATATTTTTAAAAATGCCCAAAAATTATACTTTAATATTTGAAATTAAGATTAAATTATTTGAATGTTACATTTTGTTTACAAAAATTAAAAAAATATAAAATCTTAATAAAATTTGAATTCTTGTGAAATATTTCATATTTAATAATTTAAAAAAAATAGAAATTTTATCAAAAATATTCTTATTATAACCAATTTAATTAAAACAAAGTGTTTATAATTTTCCTTCTACCTCTACTAAAAAAAAATAATAAATAAAAGTAAAATAAAAAATTAAAACAATTTATAAACAAAAATAATTAATAGCGTCACTGTTTGCTTTTTTCTAATTAACTTTCTTTCACTAATTGATTTGTATAACTGTCGGCTCCATGTTATAATTAATCTTCTCAGTCTTCTATAAATGGCATTTAATTTATGCTCCCGTAGATCTTTAATGTAGTTGGTTGATGGAAAAGTCACAGAGAGCTTTAACTCATTATTGTGTATTTGCATTTATACTTGAGTTTAAACTCCGTAATAAAGTCTTTTTAATTTTATTTTTCTTAAAAATACGCCGAGTGTATTTAACGTTATAAAAATACTTATTTGATCGTTACTCAGCTCCGTTATCAATTTAACATCCAATTAAAAAAAACTATGCACACACTTTTCTCATCCAAATCTCTTAAAGGTAAATTTTGCTTTATAAATACTTGATATTTAATCATTATTAATACGTAGTCTCAAGCGGGTTACCCAGCGAGTACGTAAAAAGATTAAGCTTTTAATTAAATGGAAAGAGTTAGGAGATAGAGTATTTTGTGTAAATACTAAAATAACTATAAAATTGTCTGTTTAAATAGTTGAGCTTTTTCGTGAGCTTCGTAGGCTTTACAGCGTGTACTCCACTTTGGCCTGGTTTACAATTCCACAATCAAGATGGTTCTGGCTCATATAGTTACGGTTATCAAGGGCCTCATCATGCAAAAATGGAATCTAGATCGAACGGCATTACTCAAGGAGGTAGCTTCCCTTTAAATATATATATATATATATACGTACTCACAATATTTTATTTTCTCCCTTGAAGTCACGATAATATATACCCCTCAGAAGGACTAATGATGTGTTTGCGTGACTATTTTTAAAAAAATAATAATAGCGAAAATAAATAAACATTCAAGTGCTCAATAAATTTAGAGCAAATTTTATGGGAAAAAATTTTTTACAATTTTGAGATTCTATATTTTGTCAAGATCAATCAAGATAGTTTTTTTAATTAAAACAATTTTTATTTAGTAATGATTAAAAAATGATATTTGAAAATTTTTTTCAGCTTATTGAAATAATCGCTAAATAAAATTTCTCAATTCAAGAATTTTTGTACATAAATCAAGACGATGAACCTCTTCATAATAATTTTTTTGGTTCCAGAATTTCTTTCTTGAATCAAGTTAATTTTTTTTCTCAAACACGTTACATTGAAAAGAAAACAATTTCCCATAACAATACGATTTTTTGTATAAATCCAATAATTCGATTAATCTTTTTAGGATACTCTTACGTAGACGCGAATGGTATTCTACAGAATGTAGCTTATACTGCAGACCCGGTGAATGGATTTCGAGTTAGAGCGAGTAATTTACCGCAACAGCCAGATAACTCTTTGGTAGCATTAAACGAAACTCCTGAGGTGGCAGAAGCACGTCGGAATCACTTGGCGGAGTATACGAGAATAGCAAATTCACTTGGAATCTCGCAAACTTCAAATGCTATTGATCAATTCGAGCAATCATCCTCCAAAAATCCTTTCGTTTTATCAAAGGACGAAGCATCACGTATTGAAATTCCCAAGCCGGCGTTCGACCAATTTTACCTAAATAAAAGACCATCATCTTCTCCATTATTTCCACCGTATTACAACAGATTTCCAGTAGATGTTAGTGTAGGATCTTATCCAGTACCCATTCCACCAGAAGCAATACGATCTTCGTCAGCAATACCGTCACCAAACTCGGTGGTGATTTCCAAGCGACCTGTCCACTCATCACTAAGACACACTCAGGACTCCTTGGGTCAGTACGACTACAGCTACACGGGTGACACCAGCGCTAAAAGTGAGTCCAGATCATTAGACGGAACAACTCGCGGAGCTTACAGCTACATCGACGCAAACGGGCTGCTTCAGCAAGTTCACTACATCGCAGACCATAATGGGTTCCGAGTTCTCGCAACGAATCTACCAGAAGCTTGATTAAAACTTTCAAGAAATCTAATTACTAAAATTTTTTAAAAACCTCTTATCTTGTCACCGTCACAGACCGACATCCATTTATCTTTAAATTTTTTACCTTTATAATTAAACCCGTCAGATTAACCGACTCCGAGGATTACATTACTGTCACTATCATCTTCTTTATCATAATTATTATTATTATTATCACCATCATAATTATGATTATCATCGTAATAAAAAAAATAATATCGTGTGGAGGTTTTTTTAAGGTAGTGGGACTTAATGATTGAATGCCTTTTGAGTGGGTTCAATAGAGATAATCTCTCGTTTGAGCGAGCATACCATACACTTGACTGGCATTCACATTTAGTATCTCTGTATTAAGCGTATATTACATGCGATTTAAATAAATCATAAAACTTTATACGATTATAGTTGTATATGTCTGTTTTGATTCCGTAATTTTTCCCTTTTGATACAGTTATGCGTTATTCGTTGATAGTTATTTATTATTATTATTATTATTATTATTATTATTATATTATTATGAATATTATTAACTTGTATGCAAATGGATAATGATGAGAGGTAAACACAGTGGGATATGCAAATTACTGTTGCTTAATCTAATTATGATTTTATGATACATATATGTTGATAGTTTAGTGGCGGTGCTAAGACTCAAATGAGTCTCAACAGAATCATTATTATTTTATTATCACGCGTACCATAAATTATCATCACTTCATTCAAATATTTCAAGAGCACTTGATCAAAAGGGAACATTTGCATACTACTAAATAATAAAACAGATACACTGTATTAATACTTCAAACATCATAAATATTTTGATCCGATAATTTCATTTATTAATTATTACTATTGTTATCAACAATATCATCATTTAAACATTAAATTGTTTACATGATTTTCAAAAATAAAATATTAATAATTTTCCGGCTCCACTTCATTTTTAGCCTTAGAAAATGGAAAAATTTAATTTGTATATTCTTACGGCAAATTTTTGAACCTTGACTCTTAAATTTAAAAATATTTTTTTCAACTTTAACCTGCAAAAAATGTGCTTTCCTTATATTTTTCCTAAAAAAGCATAAAAAACTGAACAAATTAGAAAAATCATATATCTAACTACCAAACTCATTAATATTTCAAACAAGAAAAAAAAAGTTTAAAAATAGATTAATTTTCGTATTTTAAACATTTTATTTATTATAATTTTGTTATCTTATTTCTACATTTGGTTTAGCTTGTCGCTCACATCGAATCGCTTTATTAAGATACACACAGTGTAGTCTTCGATAATATCTTTAAACACCGACTTAAATATTATATATATGTTGTTATTATTATCAATATCAATATCAATATCATTATTATTATTAATACTATTATATACACGTGTAATTACACATCGTTTGAATACACATCGATACTTTTGATATCACCATTTATATTTAAATCATAATTTATTTTTATAATAGTTATACTTCATTAAAATTTATTGATAATTAGCTATTATTATTTATTTTTTTTAAATATATTATAGTTATTATTAGTGTTATTTAATCATTAATCATTAAATCGTTCATCAATTAAAGTAACATTAATGACACACATTGAAATTCGACACCACAGCGCGATTCGATACTCATGTTGAGAATGATTACTGAGTAGTCGCGATTGCGATGTGACTAGAGAGATTCCACTCGTCTCTGGTTTAATGAATGATTAAATTTCTTGATAAGCGTTCGGTTCTTTTGCAGATAAGTCCAGAAATGGAATAAAATGCAGAACGAGACACACAACAGCCGAAAGATTCACGGAGGTAGATAAGATGGTGATGATGATAATGATCGTAATCAAATCAATGGCATCAAAGATTTCCCAAACTGTCCAGAGTACAATTACACATTATATTTTAATACAACAAATACTTATTTTCATCATCGACACTGGTAATTCGTTGTTAATGATGTGTGGACTTCTCACACATCATACATCATAGGTCATAATACAGCTGGTGTTGATTAATTCATTAGTATCATGTATTATGAATCGAAGACGACGCGGTGGGTGCCCCGTATTCGCTAGAGTCATCTCGAGTCGCTTCCTGAGTGGACGATGTGCTCGGGGTCTGAATCTTCTATTGACACACCGTGGTGCTGTGTCCTGTTAGAATAGTTGGGACTTCTGTCGCTCCTGCAGATTAAAAATGAGAAAAACAAAAAAAAAACAAAAAAAAATATTTATATTAAATTAGTTTTTTAAGAAACTAAAAAATAAAAAGCCAGTCATTGTGCAGTTTTTACGGCAAAAAATGTTTTTTTTTTTTTTTTAATTCTAATAATAATAAATAATAATAATAAACATAATAACAGTAGAAGTAGTGGTAGTAATAATAGTAGTAGCAATAATAGTAATAGCATGTAATGTGTGTTGTTTTAATCATTTAATATCAATGGATTTCATTTTTGGTAGTACTATGTATTTTTTATTATTTTTATCATCGATAAACAACCTCGTTGCCAATTGGCTGCCGTCGCTCCCACGTCGCAATGAATTTTTCTTTCGTTTGCAGAAGCAATTGCATATAATCCGCTTGAATGCGAATCTAAAGTCTTTACTGAAGAGAGCGTAGATACATGGATTTATCGCTGAATTGCAGTATCCAAGCCAGAACAGAACACTGAATACTGTTGGGTGTATACACTTCGGGCAAAATGCACGTACCAAGTACATTGTGAAGAATGGTAGCCAGCAAAGTATAAAACCACCAACTATTATTCCCAATGTTTTAGCAGCTTTTGTCTCCATTCGAAATCTCTTTACCTAAAAAATGTATCGGTTGTATTTATAACTTAACTTATAACTTAAAAACTTTAATGTCGGTTATTTTCTCTCTTATAAAGTGTACGGTATTAGTAGTACATCCAGAATAAGCATTATCTCCTCTACTTTTTTTTCGTAATTATCTCAATGACAATAATGCCTTGCCATAAATATAACCGAGCGCTATTAGCGGATGATACATAAAAAAAAAAAAAAAAAAGTTTTAGTTTGCCAACAAAAAGCAATGTTTTGGAGTATAAATAAATTTAAAAACAAAAAAAAAGGAGATAAAATACCAAAAAGGAGTTAAACAATCTGGCAAAGTTCCATCGTATGAGATTAGCAATATACCTGAGCTTTAATGTTCCTCTTGCCCATTCTCATCACCCGAGGCTTCTCTTCGCCGCCAGGAGTCAATTCGCGGAGTGAAACTTCGTCTCCGGTTACTTGACTCTCACAACTGCTTCTACAGCTTGGTCTTCTGGAGCTTCCTACTCGGTTTATACCTCCGACCTGTTCTCGGAAAATTGTATCAACAATATATAATTATTACTGATCGTGATCATCATTGTTGTTGTTATTATTAATTAAAACTTTTAATTGTACTGGACAGTCTTAAAATATTGTTTTTGTTCGTTAACTTATGATAAATAATTGCTACCATTTATCGTTGTAACGGGGTTATTATCAACTTCAGATTTTGTGCTCAGTTGTGGATCATTATAATGTTTGTTAGAGTTCAAGATAATAATTAATTTCATTTGAAAGTTAATTCTATCGCCGGTAAAAAATGTTTTTAAAAATGACTCTTTTTCTAAAACTTTGAATTAAGATTCTGTTTAAAAAATAAGAAATATGGTGAAATTTGTAAGGACCTTTTTTATAGAGGTTTAAATATTCTACAAATAATGACTTGTAATTATTTTGTAACTTTAATATTTCACTCATAAATTAAATATGAACTTTTTTTCAACTAAACCCTTAATTTTTTTGCCAAATTATCATAATTTTCTTCATTAATTTGTGTCAAAAGTTTTATACAAAATTTTCATTTACATAAAAGAAAAATCGCAGTTAATTTTTCTTCTAAAACATTAAAATAGTATTTTTTATATTGAAAGATAAAATAAGCTTATCTTTCGAAATTTAGGTGAGTCAAAAAACTAACTTTTGTATCAATAAAATAAGTTGTTAAAATCAGACTTTGAGTAAAGAAACGAAAAAATAAAAACCGTATTAAATTTCCAATCAAAATAAAAGCCCGTATGCTGAATTAATACAGAGGGATTATTTTAACGTTAAATCTTTCAACAAATACATACAACTTTCGAGTGATTTAATTGCTGAATAAAACAAAATCCCAACATACTTGTACTTGAATCGATTGAGTAATATAAATGAAGACATATTGAAACAAATTAACCAAAAAGATTTAGTCAGATTGAATTTATAAGAGTTCGCAATTAGAGTAACCACTAATTTAAACAATTAAATCGAACAATCAATTTAATTGAATTAACTTATCAGAAAGTAGAGGCTGATGCTGAGAATTTAGTATTAGGAGTTTGAATTTTCAATTAAAAATTCAAACTCTGGTGAAATCAATTCTTTTCTGGTTATTGGGTGGCGCTATTAGAAGATCTCGCGATCTCATTATCATTCAAGGATAATAGCCATTCAAATTTAAAGGAGTATAGTTTTTAGATTAGTATTTTCAATCGACAATATCAGGCGAACGCAACGACATTAAATTATTTCTTTAATTTAATTTAAACTGTTTGAAAGTAAGTTACTTCAAAAGTACACAAGTTTACTTTTAATTTTAATGACATTTAAGTTTAAAGGAAACATGTCCCAAGTTGTTTGTTGAAATTTATTGGGTAATAAAGCTCAAAATTATATTACTCTTGTACACAGTGTGTTGAAGCTTTGAAGCGTGTTCTATACCAAACTAAGTGTAATACGTGATCGCTATTGTGCTCATTTAGATTTTTTTCGCAACTTAGGTAATTACTATTGGTGAAAGAAACGTCTCGAAGTTACTAATAAAATCAGATAAAACTTTATATAATTTCAACTTCAAAATAAATAAAGTAGAATAATAAAATTACAAGAAATTATTTTTATAAACAAAATTACTTTAATATTAAATTAAATAGTTCGTCCATTAGAAAAATATTTTTGTTAGAAAAATAGAAACTTTATCTAATAAATGTGCTTGTGAAGTACCAATCATTTTAACGAACCACAAAAATTGTTATTTCAAATGCCAAATTGTTTCTAGAGAGCTCTTGAGCACTTTTTTTTTTATTTTGGATATTTATTTTTACAGATTTTTTTTTTAGGTGAAACGAAACGAAAAACTAAGTTAATATGCGAAAATTGAAGTATTTTTTAGATTTATTTTTTATGTCAAGTCATTAAAATTATTTACACTTATTTAGAATTTATTTTTTACTTGACTAAATCTTTTCAAAAGTCTCTTTTAAAAATATTTTTATTATTTTATTCGTTCTTATAAATTAATTAGTGAGAAAAATCTCAAAGCTATTCATAATATTTTTTCGAACCCAAAAATGTAAAACTAATCAATTTTAAAGAATTATGCACAAATTAATTTTTTTAAATCACTAAATTCCCTATTAAAATTATTTTCATTGTTCCAATAAATTAATTAGTGAAAAAAATTTCAAAGCAGTATATAAAAATTTTTTTTAAATCTAATCAAATGAAATCTTTTGTATGGAATATCTAAAAATTGATAATTGAGTAATTTCATTGATGAATATGCAAAACGATTATGCAAAAGTTATAATTAACACGAGATCTCGATGCCTATTATTTTAGCATATCGAGATCCACCACAAGCGCAATCATGCATCGGAGATTAAAAAACAAAAAATGAATACTGTAACGAGTAGTTTGAATGAAAATAGTGCAATTACACAAGTGAGAATATAAAAAAAAAAAAAGATGCAAATAAATTATAAATAATTGTTATTGACAGAATTATAACGCTGGCAAGTACACTTCCTGTGTGTTGGGTGGATGTATAGAACATAATAATTGACCGGTTTATTCAGTCATATATGGACATTGGTAATTAAGCCACACGAATGAATCCTGCCGCTGCATTGCTCTCTTTGTCTCTATTACTGTCTCTCTTTCTTTCATCTCACTCGACACAACAACAATAATAACCACACAAGTTGATCAACTCTCTCATACATACAGTGTACACAGTACATAGCTACAACAAAACCATAGACAAAATAAATGTCATTTTCATGAACTACCCGTCAGTTGGACTGTCCAATATCCCGAATGTTATTATATTCTGTTCACTCGTCATTCTCCCAACTAACAGTCGGCTACATTCGTGTGGCCTCTTCTGTACCTTTACCTTAAAATAGAACATCACAATAACATATTAAATAATAATAATAATTAAAATAATTTGATAGAAAACAATTACCTTGAGATGAGAACCTCTCGTAGACGGACAAAGATGGCTCAGTGTCTGTCCATTGCTATTGTAGTGCACAGAAATTTGGGAACACTTCGACGGTGTACGTTCAAGAGTATTACACTTTGTATTAAGAGTCTCAGTACTTGGATAAGAAACAGATATTTTTATTTTGTCTTTACGTACTGACGCACTACGGTTTGATTCTGGGCTTTTTGGGCTCGTGCTACTGTGATTTGCCCCACCATTATAAACACTCCCACGTCCGCGGTGTATCCTTAGTGTCAGTCGTTGTTCATCAAATCTGTAAGAAAAAAATAATTGAATATGATAGACATGAAGAAATTTAATGATTACCTTAAATTTATACTGATAAAAAAAATAATTTGATTAAAGTGAAAATAATTTTGAAGAGTTTGATCATCTTGAATCAAGCAGAAAAATTCATGAACTAAGAAATTGTTCTTTTCAAATAAATTTTACTTTATTTAAGAATTTTTCTTTTTGATTCAAAATAATTTTTCTTGATTAAAGATTTTTACATTTAATAAACGAAATATTTTTATCAATGTAGAGAAATTTTAGATTTAAACTAGAATTTACTTTGCCAAGTCATAATCGAGAGCTTCAAATAAGTTCTAGAGATGATAAGATCTAGAAATTGACTGCCTTAATAGTTCTTGAGGCATTGAAAAGTAACAAAAAGCTTGAACTACTCCACTGATTAATCTTAAATCGGTCAAGTCGTTTACGAGCTATAAAAAGTTACACACACGTTCGTAAAACCTCTTCAGGATCTCGAAATATCGACGCCTGAAGACTATTTTTTAAGTTTGCTCTAAAATAACAGAATTATCTGGATCTAATTTTAGATAAATATGACTACTGAGAATATTAAATTCAAAAACAGAAATAACTCTTTTATTTTTTTCTTTTGATCGAAAAAATCGGGCTGAGTCGAAATAACAAGCTTGTACTAAATTTATGTTAACTTGAAAAACTTTCATAAATTTAATTTACTTACATTTAAATTACAATAACTTACAAAAGTTTCAGACTAAAATTAACTGAAAATGTAACAGAAAGTTTCTTGAGAATTATAGAAATAAAAAACTGTTCTCTTTCATTATACAAGTATGAAATATTTATACAAATCTTACCAACAAGAAAAAATGATTTTTTTTTTAGTCAATAAATTAACTGAGTAAAATTAATTAAAAAAATGAAATCTAATAAACTTTAGCCAATAATTTATCATCTAAACCCTAAAATTCTTCAAGTTTTTGAATGCATAAACTATTTCGCAGCATATTTAGCTGATAATTTACGAGTTCCGGATGTCTCTAATAACTTTGTTAATTTACGAAACTCCGGATTTTCTTCAGCGGTTAGTTAAAAAAAAAAAAAAAAAAATTAACAAAAATACTAAGTCCATTAATCATTCCCGCAAACACATCCCTTGAAATATAAACTTGGTATTAAACGTTGTATTTATAACTACAATAAATACAGCAGTTTAAGTACAAAATTAAACTATAAACTTACATACATACAAATCATAACAATTCTAAAAACCGCATATGACTACACGCGTAGTACGACAAGTTACGGCGGACTTAAAGCAATTACCGGAGGCATTTAAAGTCGCAGTAGTAGAGACAAATGATCGCGCTATAAATTGCCCGTATCGCTAAGAGAAATATATAACTCCGGTAACGATGAACGAGGCGGTGTTGTTGTTGTTGGTTCTTGGTTCTTGTTGTTGTTCTTTAGTGGGCGTCGTAGTGGTGCCTGAACATACATGCTTATCAATACAAGTAGCTCGAGCTTTTCACCATTTCCCGTTTTTTATCATTAATTTGTCTCGTCCTGTTAGACTTTGCTGTAGGCACTTCATAAATTTAATATACTTTAAATGGTTAAATGCCTTTATCTGCAAATGTAAGCTCGTTTGCCTACCTTGGTAAGGCAATCAACTAACAATTATCTTCTTCAAGACCGCGTGCAAGACAAACAAATAAATAATTGCTCGTTATCATTGTACACACACACTCCGTACTCTGTATTTAATACCTAATATTTTGCAGTCTACAACAACTTCAACGTTTAATTGAGAGTAATTTTAAATAATGCTACCTTACGGATGCATACATGGAGATATTTATTAAAGTATATATATATATGTCGTCAGTACGATTTTAATTTGTCGAGAGTCAAAACTAAGATCGTAAAAATTTTCATCTACATATTTAAGAGAATAAGGAAAATTTTGCAGTGAAATTTGAGATCTTTGGAAAATCAAGACTTTAATTTGTGTTTTTTTCATAGTTTCAATTAATTTCTTATGTCAAGCTTGATGAGTTTTTGAAAAAGATGTTCGAAAATTAAATGATTGTAAAAAAAATAGCAGAACCAAGTGAAGAATAAAAATAATATTTGGTACAGTTAAATCTGTATAAAGTTCTGTAGTTATATATTTTAATTATTTAAAAGTCACTAACAAGAGCAAAAAAGTTAACTCGTGAAACTTTGAAGAGATTTAACAACAACGGATTTTTCGTAAAAAATAAAAATGATGAATTTTCTTGTATTTATTTCCAATTATTCCAGTAAATAAATTATGAAAGTTATCGAAGATACTCTGACGTATCTTCGTAAATCTTTTCGACTATTCTATCTGTTTTCGTAATGATTAAAGAGTATGACTTTAATTGAATATAACAGTTATATGACATAGTTCATCAAGTTATTGGTCATCGGTCTTAGCAACTTAACTTTAAGATTTATTTTTGTACGTATAATTATGCACAGAAAAAAAATTTACCTATATCTAATTAAAAATGTCCAAAAATTATTGAACCAAAATTTTTTGAATAGTGGTTTCAAATTTTCGCTAGTCACATAGCGTCTACAGATTGCTAGTCTGAATTCCAGTAGTGAAATAGAATCACAAAGTTAAACTTTTTGTTAAATTTATCACCAATTTAAAAAAATAAATACCAAGTACAATTTTTAACTTTGTGATTTTGGTGAGTTGTTTGGTAGTAATTTCCATTTTATTTGTCCAAATAAAAATACAACGTGCCGTGAACGTAAATATATAAATGTATGAATATATAGATCATAGATACCTTGATCCTAGCATTTTTGAGCCCTTGGTCGTCCGGAAACCCTGATTAATAGCTTTGGTCGTTGATACAGCCGCGTTGTATATCCTCCAGTAGAAAAATAACATGACTAGTGTTGGTATGTAGAATGATCCCAATGCGCTGTAGACGACGTACCCAGCGTCATTGGTAAGCTCGCATATCCAGGGGCACGGTTTTGACTGTACTACAATTCGCGTTTCATTGTACGGCCCACTGTCATCCAACGTCGATACGTCATTTCGTTGAGGATTTGACTGTCAAACAGAAAAAAAAACGGGCACACCCACACACTCTGTTATTTATTTAGCAAAAATTGCTTAATTTTTAAAAGTGGACCGAAAATAGTATTTACACGCAAAATTGATCAATATCACTCTATATTTCATAGATATTTACTCAGACTAAAACTAAAAGTTTTTTTTTTATAAAATATCTATTGTTTATTCGACGTCGCAATTAAAAGTTTCATCACAATTGAATTTGTTATTTAATTATACATGTTTATTCGCTAACTAAACTTTGGTAATTATAATTGAAGCCAATTAATAAGTGGATTTTATACAATTATTTATTTACTTAGCAAATGTTTGAAAAACAATTTTGTTGTTTTGTTGTTTCAAGTTTTTCATAAACAATTACCGCGTATATATGTGACGCAGCTTTTAAGAACGAGCGTGGACGGATGGATAATCCTTATAAAAGAGACATCGCGACAATGACATATGTAATTATTGAATTACATGTTCTATGAACAATAGGTAGCTCCATACCCTTTGATCTTTCCAGCCGACAAGAGGTGGAAAGCAGATGACGAAACTCAGCACCCACACAGCTGCAACCAACAGCTTGGCTCTCTTTGGTGACATTATCTGCAAGCAATCAGCTTCGAGCAGTCAAGCAAGAGATACCTCCCATGAAAATTCATGAACTAACGTTAATGTATACCTTACACATCTATATGTTGATTAATTATGGGTGTAAGCATACGGTCTACTAGGACACTAGACTTCTTTCGATGATTTATCGCGTAGTCAGAAATTTTTAAAATTTTACTCATTTTGTTTGAATAATTTATTATGAAGCAAATGAAAAAAAAAAATATTAAAAAGTATAAACTTTTAGATTTATGTTTGAAAATGTAATTTTTATATTTGAAGTTATTTTTCTATAAAATTTTCATGCACGACGACTTTTTCTTTATTAGAGTAAATAAGTTCATGTTTTATTTCATAATTTATTCCTGTTTATTTTAATTATTCTACATATGTTAATTTCATTTCCACATGACGAATTTTCACTATGTAAGTAATTCTTAAAGAAAAAAAAAATTTTTTAATAATTTAAAAACCAATAACACAATGATGCTTGTAAAAATCATGATCAGCAAAAATTTTAATCTAGATTGAATCGAAATAACTTTATCAATAAAAAATTCGTTAGTCAATAGAAACAGATTATACAAACTAAATATCCTTTTCATTGGCTCAATTTGACAATTTTAGTTTAAATAATCCAGATTATAGTGCAATAAATTACAACGCCTATATTGAGCAATATTTCAAGTATTAATCAATAAAAAATCACAAGTTTAGTTGTAGTTAATTCATTATACATCAACAAAATACTATAAAAAATTTTTTATGGCAATAGTTGACATTTTAATTAAAAAAAGCGCATTAAAAAGTAACTCATCTGAACTGATCTCACAGAATCTTAAAGTTAAGAACAGATTATTTTTTATTGTAATTGAATTATTTTTTATTCAGATATTTTATACTTTCAATAATAAAATGTATAATTAAATTATCGACTTTATATTTAAAAATTTTTCTCAACTAAATGGTGACTTGATAATTTTATATTATTAACTAGGCAATAGAGGGTCGTACACCCTTCATATATTGATTTTGTACCTAAATTAGTTATCTAAAAAATATCGAAAAGAGCTATCGTGCCTCATTTTAACTTCGTCAAAGACAACTTCGTTCTTCGTAAATATTTTCGTCAGTCAATATTTTTTTATGCATCGCATGTGTAAGATATCCACAAACGAAATAAAAAAAACTTTTACGTAAAAAAAAAAAAAATATATTTTACCTGAGGATAGCTGACTGGCCTGGTAACAGCCAAGTACCTGTCGAGACTTATCGCGCATAGATTCAATATTGACGCGGTGCACATCCACACATCCACCGCCAGCCACACCGAGCACCACAGGTCCCCAAATATCCAGACCTTGCGACATCGATTAACGGTAGATTAATTATACAATGGAAGCTAAGGGGTGTCTCGAGATAAGAAATGACGTCAAGACACCGGTACTTAAATTGAACCTATTTTTTTCTCATTTTTTTTAATATAAAAATTAATTAAATATATTATTAGATGATTGTATTCACCTTGAAGACCTCCCAAGTAGCGCTGAAGGGAAGCACAGCCACGCCGACCAAGAGATCAGCAACCGCGAGACTAACGATGAACATGTTGGTGACGTTGCGGAGTTTAGTAGTGTGGTAAACGGCGAGTATGACAAGTACATTGCCAAGAATTACCATTATGTCGACAAATGCGAGGACGACGAGGGTACCAACGATACCCGGTCCTGACCACTCGACGTCCTCGTACAATTTGTTGCAGTTGTATGCGTTTAGATCCCGCATCGTTAACGACGACGCTTATCGTCGGACCTCCCAGTGTCCGTTTGTCCGCACGTCGACGACCGATGAACACCGACGGCTTTGACCACCGTGTCTTCTCTCCCATCCTTTCATTTTACATCTATCACTTTATACATGTAACTTTTATTTATCTATTATTTTTTTACTCACTTTCACACTTTGCACTTGCTCTATTATTTTTATTTTTGATCAGTTGGCTAATTTAACAGCCCACTAAATCATCTTTACTTATATTTTTCTTTAAAATCTTAATTATTATAATTATAATTATTATTATTATTATTCGTAAACAAGTTTTTTTTTTTAATAAAAACGAGGTAAATATATATACGTAGATTAATCAGCCTTTGGTAGGTACGGTAATTATAATTATTATTGAATTATTCGCTTGAGCGTCAGGTTAATTATTAATTAATATATATATATATTTTCTTGTTTTACTTATTTGGTTAACTTTTTAAAATATCACAAAGTAATCTAACTTGTAAATGATTAAAAATCACGTTTCTTTTGATCTAGTAATAATTATAATAATAATAATGATGATAATAAATCTAAGTATAATTAAGATAAATTAATTACACGGGAGAATAAATAAATCAGAGGATCTTCCGGTACTTTCGATATCGTCGGTGGTGTCTTACCGGCATTCCAAGCCGCCTATTCACTCTCTTAACACGCTTGTCATTACACATTGTCACTCACGTGTGTTATATAAACGTTTCTGATTTTCCTCCGGTTATTTTTGTTCGGTTAAATACCGCATATTTTATTTTATTTATTATTGTTATTATTATTGTTTTGTTTTGTTTTGTTTTTCTGGCACTTTTGCCGCAGCTGCCGAGGTAATTGGTTGATGCTGATCTTTCGGTTATTTTTTAGTGTGAAAACTTGTGAATAATAAATTAATAAATAGATAAATAAATATATTTTTATATTTAAGATACTCTTTGGAAGTCTATGTGATTCAACATCGTTTTTTTAATATCGTCATCACAACGACAATATTATCACCAACACACAACGGTAATCTTCCACTTTCCAGTTGATTTATTAAAATAATATTTTAATAACTGTCGCCTCATGAGTATTCTCCTTGCAAATCTCGGCTTTCCATTTTCTGAAAATAGTAATAATACATCATATTTAATATTTTTTTTTTTAACATTACGCTCATTTATTATTGTTATTATTTTTCACATAATTAATCTACTGAAAAAGTCAAAAGTTCATCATCATCTTAATGATAAAGTTGAAAGCAGAAGAGTGAATAAAAAACTAAAATAAAAGACAACCAGCAAAGAAATGTTTGCGTGGAAAAAAAAAATAGAACGAAAATAATCAATGAAGAAAGACAGACGAGTCATAAAATAGAGAAAGCAAGAGTGAGAGCTTTCAAATGAGCTCGAGGATATTTGATGCCTAGTGTAAAAGAACGAGAGTTTGTATGAATTTTCATTGGAAAAATTTTCTAAAGCGACCTCTTTTAAAAGCCCCTTATCAGTCTAAAAAGTCTATTCCAAAGTAAAGAGTCGACACCTTCAATAGCGTACTGGTCATACATATATATTACACATCAACACATAAAAGTATTTATCTCAAAATAGAAAAAATAAACTGTCAATTACCAGAAACCAGAAACGAGAAACCATCAGTAACATACAAAGAATCAAAATTGATTGTTAATGCTACAGGTTGCCGATTATCCCATAAATGGACATCAACATCAGGACCGACGAATTAAATTCAATCCTTCCATTCCATTCTCACCCAAAAGATATTCCATCCTGTCCTGTGTTGACCGTTGAGTGTCGAGAATCCGGGCTTATATATCCTGTCATCCCTTTCAGCCCTCCATTTATATATTATATATCTTCCTCAATAGCCGAGGTCTAAAACTTATCGCTTTATCACCTCCATGCCCTTTGCCCTGTGCCTGACCGTCTCCGACGGTGTAGTTATATAGTCCTGGGTAATAAGTTATCCCGATCACCAATATCTGAGCCAGAGTAAACTTAATCCCCTTATCGTTTTAAATATACAGTTATACAAAAGGGAGATGAAATGAAAAGCACCTACCAGCATCCTCAGTCCTCAACCCTGACTTAGATGCTGAAGAGATTCTGAGATTATTCAGAACGCAACCTTTGCACTAGATCTAGGGGATATACATACGTAATTTCTTGGTTTTCGCATTCAACTCAGTCTGTGTATGTATCTCTTTCTCTTCTCATAGCTGCGGCTGATGCTGATGAGTTAGGCTTGTGACGAATGAGACAACTTTGCATCAATGACTCTAACGAGCCAATTGTGTTTTACGGTGGTTATTATTCCCGAGCGTGTTGCACGTGGATGAGTGTGGTGTGTTGTGTGTTATGTGGCTCTAAATAATCTCAGGATTAATAATTTTATCAACTACCAGCCGAAGACTGAAGCTTCAATCGATTAATATCATCCGTGTTCTGATTCTGTATTTCATACTTGATGAGACCAACATCAATGTTGATGTTCATAAATATATATATATATATATATATATAAATTTATGTGTTTATATGTCAGAACAAAAGTTGCCGAGTATTCGAGTGAATTAGTTGACGGTAATAAAATTTTGTTCCTGTATAAACTTTCGACAGTCTCTTTCGTACTCTCTCATTCACTTATCTGAAACCTTGTAAATCTCTTCCGATCTAAGACTGCTCTTGTTCTAGTATAAGTACATATACTTATACTTATACTTATGCTCCAGCTGAAACTACTCTTCGCGAAGAGCTTGAGAATTGTATGTCTATAGTAACTTATTAATTTGTGCCCACGTTATCTCAAAGGTCAAATGATTCTGCGCATTTTACCCTCGGATTTACTCCGACAATGTATTCAGGGTAGTTACATTGTTTTACTTTTTTCCTTTCTTTATTTTCGTTTTATTTATATTATCTGTCGGCATGATAGTCGTAATAATACTTTGCGTAAATTTTTCGAGCGTGAATAAGAGGAATGAAAAAAATCGGGAGCAGAGCCGGCTCTTCTGCCTACAGCCTACTACACCACGACAGGAACTAAAATGAGAAGAATGTTAAAAGGGCGGATAGGAGTTGAGGAAAGGAATAAAAATACAATACTCTTCTGTACTGTATAGAATATACAATATACAATATACAATATACAATACTATACAATAGGAAAAGAGTAATAAGAGTAAGCTCGGCGGTAACCATCGGCATGCGAAATACTTGGTAACTTGAATTTCCTACTCAAAAACGCTCCGGGCAACCAAACTTTTTGTACTCTCATTTATTTCTTTCACTTCTTAAACTTTATTTTTTATTTTATTATTATTTTTTTTTTATTCTCAACTCTCTAGTCAATAGAATACAAAAAAAGTTAACTTATTGAATGAGAGAGATTCTTTATACTGTTCTGGCCCAGCCTCTTCTAAAGCCTGCCCTCGATCTATTGCTACTTTTACATACAATACATTTTCCCTTATTCATATTTCTTGTTACAGATATCACAAATTTATATTAAAAATTTTCAACCTTTTTTATTTCTGCCTTCGCCTCCTGCTCCTTTTAACTGGTCATTTTTAAATGACTTACAAAGCTGCTTTTTCTACGTTTACTTTTATCTCTTTATCGTATATATTTTTTTTTTCAGTTTTTATTGTGTTACCTTTCGTTTCGTTTCATTTCAATCCTCGAGCTTTTTTGTTTTCATTTTCCCGCGTTCGCTTTACAATTAAATTTTTATTTATTATATCAATTAAATTGGATTCCATTATTGAGTTTTTAAAAAACAATAACATGAATAACAGCAACAACAATAACAACAATAACAGTAACAATAACAACAACAATAACGATAACAGTAACAAATTCCAAATGAATTTAATGAAATAAATCGTGACACCTACCAGTAGCACAATTTTAAAGCACAAATTTAATTTTACCACTGAAAGTTAAATAAGCAAACTTTGTTATTAAAATTCACATAAATTTATTTTTTAAAATAAAAATTCAACAAAACAATTGTAAACAAAATAAATAAAAATTGTCGGCACTTTTTAGTCATGCCCAGGTGAAAGAACCACTGATCGGATTTAAATGACCTGGGTGATTGTCGTAAGTGTCGTCGCGGCAACGATGCTGAGCGCACTGACAAGATCCGGGCGTTCGGAAAAAAGAGAGAAAGGAAAAAAAATATATATCTATAGTCATGTATATATATATATATATATATATATATATATATATATATATATATATATATATATATATCGTCCAATATATATATATGTATATATATATATTCATCTATATATATGTATACACACATATATACCTGTAGATGAACGAACGGAGCAAGGCAGTCAGAGAGAATGAGCGTGAGTGAGTGAGTGGGTAGTGAACGGTGTATTCGCATGCGCATCAGTAGACGTTCTCGTTGACTCGCGCGTTTGTTAGCAAAAGCAGTCCTATCGCGTTCTCTACTCCGAGTAGAGAGTAGAGAGTAGAGGGAAAATGAGAGAGAGGAGAGTGGTTGAATCTAGTCTCCCTGGCCGCAAATATCATCAGAGAACGCTACTTCCACCTTCCTCGTCGTCATCGGTTTTCCACCTCTCACTTCCTGTCCCGCGCCCTTTCTTCTTCCTTCTTTCTATAACCAGCTATCCTTTTAGCGACAGATAATGTACTACATATTCTATACATCGCGTATCTACTCTCACTCTGGACGTCAGTTTCATTGACCAGCCAGGCCGGGATTCATCTATTTCATCCCCTTCCATTCCGGTTCGTTTCTTATCAATACAACTGATACCGTTATACTGTCGGCTGGCTTGCATATATTATTTATCTGCTTTTAGTCACTGGTATTTCTATTTCAATTAACACACCCCGTCACCCGATAATCAGATCTTGTTATCGAAATTACATGTCTCAGGTTGAGGTTTGCGATAATCATTTACATTATATACACATTTA